AGAGTAAGAGATTGAGCCTGGCGGCTGTCAGCTATTCTCGGAATGCCATTGATCCAAATTTTGGCACCTTCAATGACTTCAATCGAAGTCCTCAAGCTCGCATCATCGTTGCGCTCTCAATTACTCACGATCCTCACAAAACTATCAATTCAAAAGTGAACTTTCCCAAAATGGCCACGCAAAACTCTTATTTCTTCCTTTGGCTTGCTATGTCCTAACCATCTCATTAAACACGCGCGAACCGTTTGTGCAATGGCCGAAGTCTTTCCCGCCAGCGCCGACGAAGTTACTTCACCCCTAACGCCTAAGGTGTCCCAGCCAAAGGTCTCAAGCCGAAGGTACTTGTCTTTCCTACCTCCTGTTCCTACAAGCCACTTTCGACATCCATAGCTCGGTGATCATTGATCTGTTTCAAGAGTTCTTAGCCTCCTTACAACGGTGCCGAGATCCATCTAGCTAGATTTTTTCTAAATTAATTTGCCACTAATTGACAACGTTAACAGGTATCTACTTTAACAGATTTTGACCTTCTTAATTTAACTTCCTTGTCTGCGAGTAAGAACACTAGCTCTCGCTAGAGGGGTATCTAACATGGATTCCAACTATCATAGCTAGTCATCTGCTACAAAATCCTTCATTTAGTCTACCATTAATATTATTCACACCATAAAAATGTAAATTTTCCTTCATCTACTCAAACTTCATCTTTTCATAAAAAAAATTAAATCTGAGGTACCACACATAGTTTCTCTAAATAATTTATTTTAAATCAAATCTGAATAATATGTTCATGTGAAGTTTTGTATTTATTAAAGCAACTTTTATTGAATTAACTTCAGATTGATACACTGAGCTCTGGATTACATCTTATGTTACATTCGATGAATGGAAAATTTTTATGAGAGATTGTAAAAAAAAATTTGTGGCAATTTGAATTCAGTAAAATATCCTTAGATTTGATAAAATCTAACTCTTAATTTTCCATAAAGTTTAAACATTAGTGATTCATTCTAACATTAAGAGTGATAAGATTTTCATGTCAAAGTTTCAATAACGTGAAATAACCAAATAGAGAATAGTGAATGTAGATTAAAGTACAACGTTGTGGCTTCAGCTTAAAGTGCTTCTTCTTAACGTATTCCTTGCATAAGAAAAAATTGGCTTAAGAGTTTTTTTTTGTCTACTATCTAGTTGACAATGTTTATTAATCTCTCCATTGAATATTTAATGAGTTATCACTAATTGACGTGTAAAGGTTTCAAGTATGATTGATGAATATGGACTAGACATCAATTTGGAAGCTACTATATCCATATGCCATCCATGATCAAGAATGTCATCCAAAACCCATTCAGAATCCATGAGCATATATGGATTTGAACATGCACATTCAATGTTGGATTAGTGTAGAAACTACACCAAGCTAGTCGAACAATCTCGTAGCAGAGCTATAATAATTTGACATTGTTCACCATCATTTGTATTGTACTATCATATTTCAACCAACGTATGTCATATCTAATCTATGCTAATTTCTTAATCATTCAACTTATCACATTTACAAGAATCTTGTAACACTAGTATTTAGAGATAAGTTCACCCGTAGATGAAACATAAACTTTGAAAATGCAATACCTTGAATGGTTTTTTTCTTCCCACCGTCCAATCTTCTCCAAGTGAATTGATGACATGACGGATATACCTAATGTGTACATGGATTGATGACATGTCGTTTCCAATTAATACACTAACTAGCACATTCAATCCTTACCTAAATTACACATGGATTGATGATGTGTTGCTCGCAACTAACACACTAGCACCCGAATTGCTAACATGATTCTATAGATATTACCTTTATCATCTACTCTACTTCAGCTTGAATGACCTCTACTTTAATTCTACGTAATTAAAGGTGATTATACATCTTCAAGATATATGTGGTTGCAATCATTGTCACAATTCTCTTATCATATTATTTAGTACTTCTACTCTCCACTCACTTTATAATCCTTTTTATTTTGATATGCGCCACCTTCATGATATCCTACCTTCTACTCTTGTACCAAGAGTATATTAGCTCTAGTGTAATCTGCATAACCATGTGGCTTGTAGTTTGCCTCCAAATTCATTTTTTGATTTTTTCTCCTAGAGCTGTTGTGTGTTTTTTCTCTATGCTTGCTTCTTGGTATATTTTGCTTACTTGCCATATCTTCTTTGTCCTTGCTTATTCTAGTTTCATAAGGTTACTCGCTATACCTTTTTGCACCATTGAAAAATTGCTTATAAAATTGCTCATAGAGGATGTAGATGTGATCCTACTTTTGTAACTAGTGCTTAGCAAGAGCTACAATGGATTCAATTGGATGCTTGTAGATTCTTCTCGTCTCAAAATTATTATGATCTTTGTGTTAAAATTTAACCTCTATGTTATCAAAACATGTGATCTTCAATCCACAAAACTTCTTTAAGATATCTTCTTATTAAAAACAAAAATTTGTAAGCGGCAATAAAATTAACACATCCAACCATAGAGCTAAAGATTCATGCCACCCTAGCAAAAAATAGAGAACCAACTACTAATCTTGCATGCAAGCAGATTTTATTTTTTTTTAAAAGAAAGATCTTTTTTATTGTTTCAGCTAGTACTCTTCTGATATACCAAGGCTACTAGTGAGAGCTATGGCTTCTTTTTTTTATCATTCAAACTAGTGGACTTTGATACACGATGATGTTCTCATGTAAAAGATCAAAGCCTATATTATATTTGGCAATGTTAGCCACATGAAACAACAAAATCGTAAAGTAAGTACGGCAAATCTTTGATTACAAAGATTGAAAAGTTCTTCCTAGCATTTGAAAATCTTAATTCAAATCTTGACCATTTATTTCACTGCAAATGAAAACTGAATGCTGCGTTGAAAATAAATTGGAGACAATGATTGCAGATATGGACAAATCTGTAGATTTTGAAAGGATTGTTTGCTTCTTGATAGAGGGAACAAAAATTTTATCTGATGCTCCATCATGATCTTTTATTTGCTTCAATTTTTAAATGTATCATTCAGTGAATTTTGCATACAGCACATTCATAGCGGTAAAATCCACATGCTCCTCACCTTGAGCTAACAACCAAAGAAATGTTTCTCTTCTGCAACATATTATTTTGTCTCAAACTTTTGCATGATATGAATACTTTGACTTCAAAGTTTCTTTCCCCTGCCTGACTTTGTAAAATTTTCAAGTTTGAAACTCTCACACTGTTGCTTTGCTATTTGATATCCTTAGATGTCAAATCTTTCATGCAATTGTTTGCCTATTTAGAACTTTCTCACTGTCAAATTATTTTCTCACCAACGTTTCTTAGTGAAACTTTGGTGCTTCAATTATCTTTTGAAGCCATCCGCAAATCTTATCAAAATCTTCATGCTCCGCTTGTGTGGTTGTAGGATTAAGGTTTTGGGTTTTGGATTTACCATTTTCACTCGTATTCCTTGGCAAAAACTGATTATTTTCCCTCAAAATCTACTCATACTTTTTTTGTTCTCGACAGATATAAAGGTACAAACATTTTTAACATATTTCACACAAGAAATATGTGTATCACTTGAGCAAGACTATATTTACACAACACACAAAGTCCTTCATTAGAACCCTAATTTGCCAATCAGATTTCAGTAGCTAGCTCTCTCATATAGTCCTGGCTAACTAGTCTAACTAATCAATACTATATTTTGACTTCCTAACATATACTCTATTCAAAAAAATTTCATATTGGTAAAAAATCAGCATGTAAAGTTTGTGATAATACTCTCATCCAAATTTCACATAATATTTCAAATCTGTCCCCGTAGTGACTTCTGTTCTTTCATGTGAAAGTGATCTCATGGACTTGTGTTACTACATGCTTCTTCTTTGAAACAGGTTGTATATTATCTTCATTATAAGGTATTCTTCTCAATACTTTAGTTAGGAAAAGAGTTTTCAACAGCACATGCTCCATCTTTTAATTCTCTAATTAATCATTGAGGGACATCCATGCATATTATTAAAAAAAGTAGGGTATTTCATTTTATTTTGTAAAGATCCTACTGTCTAAAAGGTTTTATTTTCTCCCTATACGATTAAAGGAAAACCTTCATAACTAAAAGATTTTTCTTTAGCAACAAGATCTAATATAATTTATACAAATTGTTGATGGAGAGTAGATTTGGGATGTTGTGAGTGGTCTTTAAAATGACTTAAGGAGAAAGACATAGGATGAAAAAAATTTTGATAACTGTTTACTACTCGAAATAAAGAATTCAGGCTAATCAACTATGAACTCGTAATCCAACGATGCGATTCTTCAAATCAGTGCGAAAAATCTGAGCATCTGTCAAACATACAATTTGAGAGCAGGCATCTGACTTCTGCCAATATAACCATTATCATTAGCCATTTGACTTCAGTCCAGTAATTTACTCTGTTTAGTAACTTCAGACTATGAGACACGGATACCAATACAAGGGACGTGAATCATGTTTCCGCTTTCGTAAATATTCTCCTGGAGATCATGCGTCATGCATTTATAGGCCAGTGTACCGAGGGAGAATATGCTGTACCATTCCCAAGTTAGAGTTTTTGACTTATAGAAAATGATTAGTATCTTATAGATTTATGTGCAAATTAGAGGTGAGCGCAAGCTACGAAATGTTCTCATCTTTTCTCTTACTCCTCACCAAAGCCATTGTCATGCGCTAATGGCAAAGAAAAGTCACATCATTGCATAATTGGCTAGACACTAGCCCGGAAAGGGATATAAATGAAGATTGTAGTTGCTGTATAGTCTTCAAGTACCTTTAGTCTCTATATTTCTTATTCAATTATCAATATGATCATATTTCAGGAAGAATTGTGCATTAAGGCGCTTCGGGAAAGACCTTAACAATTCCTGGATTACAATGTAAATTAGCCCTCTGAAGAAAATGTGTCTACTGCAAAATAGTCAAAGTAGAGTGGAGCTCTAAGAGGTAAATAATTCCTCCATGTCTTTCATCAATTTGGGGACACTAGCATTCATGGGCGTGAACACAAACACAGCTCATGGTGAACTGAAAACTGGTTTCAACCGTACAACTGGTTGATCGAAGATGATCAGTTGCAGGAGAGAGAACTGAACTCGAACCAACCTTTTGTCCCAAGAAGGTAGACAATTTATTCGATGTCGACGATGAATCATCATCAGTACAAGTGTCGCAACAGTACTGCTTTCTTTTGGGAAGTACAGAAAATCTCCGATATAGAGTCCACTTATTGAATAAGATATCCAGAGGTTCAGATACAGGAGGAACGCATCTTTATTATTGTGTGTTCTGATACTACGCGCTATCATATGGACCGGAATAGTTGATACTCACATGTCCAGCGTCTGGATTTGCTATGGCTCTAAACGCTGTGTCAGACAGATCAAATGCTCGCCCACCTACACATCCATTAGGGCAACGATCCACTACCTTGATAGAGATGGTAGCTGAGCTAGTACAGCCATTGCCTGTGCACTGGATCTTGAACCACTTACCACAGTTTGCACCATTGTTCCAGATGTTGGGTGCTCCGTCACCTCCCGCAGCAAAGTAATTATTGGAGGGAAACTGACCCGCATCGAATCCAAAACAAGCGGAAGCTGCGTGCAACGACCAAATAGGTTTCAAGCTCGGATGCTGAGATTTGTGCATGCATTATTACGATGTGAACCAAGTGGAACATGTGCAACGATCTGGTTAAATAATATAATTCCAAATAATCTATCCTAAGCAGGATCTACAGATTTCACAGATCTACATATTACCCATATCATTGCATATCTTCAGTTCGATCGTTTAATGGAGTTCGATTTTGACCACAATCCCGTATTCATACAATGTCATCAGACTTTTGCATCCCCTCATAAGGCCCAGGAAGGGGAACAGCAGGTACTTACGAGTAAACGGAGCTGTATAATATGAAACTTCCCCGGTCTTCGTGCCACCAGTGGAAGGAGTGCCTGAAGGAGGGCTGGGTGAGCTGCCAGTACATGGTCCGCTTTGGCAGTTGAGTCCACAGTAGGCTGATGTAGATCCACACCAGCCATACTCACTGCAGCAAAGGTTGCTAGGGCACACTGCATTTCCTGCTTGTCGTCCACATTGTTCCGCTGTGCTAAGGTGGGAAAATAGGAGTAACATCACTGCCACTCGGATTACCTTGAAATACATCTTTGATCCCTGCAGAGGCAGGAGTAACTATGTAAGAAGGATTCACGTGTGCGCACATACGAAGATACTCGGTCTGCTTCTATGTATATGCTTCCCTCCATTCAAGGGATCGATCACTGTGCTGACAAACATAATCAAATCGAGTTTCCAAAAGAATTGAGAGCAACGCTGATTACCTGCATTACAAAGGTTTCTGAGTACCAGGAGGGACTTCTGCTAAGTGAAGAATGCGATTGCTTACTTCCAGCAGAGCTCTCGTGATGTATTTAAAGGGTGATGAGCAGGTGACTGTCTGACTGACTGATTACAGAAGCAGCAAAAGTCATCATCGATGAAAAAGGTCAAGGCAGAACCTTTAAGGATCCGGTGTATTTGTATGTACATTTAGTGTAGAACGAACCTATGATATATTCAAATGACGATGCCACGTTGTATGGAGATCTCTGAAGTGGAAGACTTCGAACGAAAAAATCAGAAGCATCAGTATTGAAATGGAAGAGCATTTTCTCTGTGGGAAAGTGGCATGAGCCCTAAAAAATGGCACGAACTTCGCTTGACTCTAGAAGCAGCTAAAGATGTTATCACCCGAGATATGCGTGCAGTACTTAAGACGAAGGCAGAAAATATGTATACTGCTGTATGCATACTGTTGGCGACTCAAAGTCAAATTTCTTTTGATTGTCACCAGAGTAGGTGAGTGTGCTGAGAAGTTGGAGTGATATTGTATTGTGTTCACGAATCATCAATCCCAATACAAGATACAATGCTACTTATCGCTTACGTGAGCCATCGTCAAATGTTGTGAATCCTTTATGAAAAGGCACGTTCATGGCTCACGACTGTATACAATTCGATAGTCATCATTAGTCAACCGTGAGTCTATCTAGGTCTCGGTCCGGGTAGATGTTTGGATCGTGTTGAAGCTTTTTGCACTTTCTTCACTCGACCTCCCAAATCTGAGTCAAAATTTGAGTTTAATCCGCAATAAGGTTTTATCTTGAGAAACTAAAACTTGAATATACCATTTGATAACGTCAGTAGTGAGGAGCCTGACCCTTTGAAACTTTGATTGTTATTTCCACATACAGTGCAGAGTTGAGTCCCTTCTTCATATAATCAATTCATGGACGTAGTTCGGTTCTCGCGTGATGGTAATGAAGAAAACCTGTTGTTATGGTCGACTACAACTCAACCATCAAGTCATAGAGAAATAGAGTGTTCAAAACTAAGATTCTTGAGTTTAATAAGTATTGGAGATCTGAACACTGCTAGCGTGAGACAAGTGCTATCTACCAGGCGAAGGAGACAGGAAATATTTTGTAATGCTGCAGATGGAAATCAAAAACAGTTAAGATGAAGAACTTTTCTTCGAAAATAAATTGTCGATATAAAAGGTTTTGGGACTTTTGGCTTCAGGAGTCAACATCAACCGTTAAACTGAAACTGCGAGCGAAGGTACACCTACATCATGTACCATCATGTGATGATTTGTCTGGTCAATTTGGACAGTCAAGCTCTCAATGCTACAAATATCAGCCCTGCTTCTTGATTTCACCTTCAGTCAGCTCGATAACGTCAGAAAGCAACAAGTTCGCTAGACTAATAGATGGCTCACTCCTCTCTCCGTACTTACTTTGAAAGTTGATGAACATGGGTTAGTCACATGAAAGCATAAAAGTGTGTGCATGACAAACATCATATCATATCATGTTCATAATTTAATATGATATGAAGTAATTGTCATCAGACCTGGGTATAGGTCCTCAGACATGCGGACTCACTCAAAGAAGGACCGGGCGGTACTTACTCGTAAAAGGACGTGCAAGAATCGAAAACTTCGAAGCGAAGTTTGTTAGGAGTCTGGAAGTCTTCTAGAAGTCGTCCACAATGTCGTCATATACTGATTAACAAGTGACTCAGACATCAACCGTAACAAAACTTCATATTCACGGACATATGTCAAAGCAGTATCTTGGACGCTATTGTGCAATCTTATCTTCATCTAGTGCATAGTGCTGCAAAGGCATGATGTATTGTTCCACAAAGCCCACTCTAAGCACGGGTTATCTACGTGGAGATTTCTTATTTGATAGCACACGTGGTTACTACATGAGCACACCATCGCTTGGAGAAGTGGCCTCCGCAGACATGGCACAACTTTCCGTCCCGATGTATATCCGGCCTACCCCCTGGTTCCGTTCGTTTTCTTCTTCACCCGGTTTGATAGTCTCTTCTAATCTTTGTCTATCCAGTTAGCCCCATTTCATCACTCCGCATTCCACGTATGTGTTCATGATTGACTAATGCAGCAATCTGAATGTAAATTGTGGATAATCGGTGACTCAAACGTTTGAAGTTCTTCGTTTCTCACCAAGGTAAGTTACTGTGCAGGATGGCACCATAGAATTTTATCTCCTTTTGTTAATCAACTGTTTTTATAAACAATCCTAGGTTGAAAGCTTCATGTTTATGCAACCTCATCTTCAATATAATCTACAAGCCTAATAAGAGTTTTTGAACAAATGACAGCTCTACTGTCTATGCTCATGAATGCCCTTGCACAGGTTGGTGGCAACATGATCCTTCACCAGCCGATAGCAGTGCGAGAAGTTCATTTGAAGATTTTAACTGTCACATGTATTTCCAGATTGGATCGTGTCTTCTTCAATTACTTATACAGTCCCAGTTTCCCCAGCCGCTACATCGAAAGTTCTTCTTATTCAACAGGGATAATTGAGTATGTGAATCAAAGCACATGGGCATCCAAAATACAGTCAGTTTCATCTGAAACCTTAGCCAAATTTAATATTGGTTTTGAAAAGGTTTTCGAAAGTGGAAAGTTAGATTTAACAGCTGGATGTCAGAGTGATTTGGGGAAGAACCAACCCTCACAAGATTGTTCGTGCAAGCCTCAAAGTTAACCCCTTGCAACGTATAGGGGGTAGAAACGTCACGCTTGTAGATTTCATACATGTTTGATCCAGCATGCATGACTCTAATTTCTATTTTTTGGGTTAAGTCTCCAGGAGTTATGTGAGGGTCTTGGAATGTAAATGGCATCCAAAATTCATGGTGATGATGACTAAGTTTAGATCCGTGAAATACCTACTTTTTTGAAGACAAACGCTACCAACCGGGATAGACTTCACCCGACAGTCTATTATTGATTGGTTTATCTTATGTTTCAGGTTCCTAAAATATAGATATTTTAGTGAAGCTAAAGCTTGACCTTAATGTGCTTGACCGTCGTTGACCATGAACACTGAATGTATTGATATCCGTGCACTCATCATCAGTGCTTGGCAGTATCTCGTGTAGTGACTTGTTGGCTGATTCATGTTTCCTTCTAGTGGAGACACAGAAAATGTGCAACTATAACAATGTAAACTGTGAAAGACTTACTGTTCTTGACAAACAGTTCCACGATAATGATCGTGGTGTTAGATCGATGTGCGTTCTCCAGCATCTACATCTTTGAGATGGACTAATATCTTAGTATCATATAAGTCCAGCAGCATATAAGCCCGGATAAACAAAAAAAACAATATGCCAGTGTATTATACAATTTCTGTTCAATCACTGCCGCCTCAATTGTTCTTCTGCACCGTATGTTTTTGTCCTGATCGATGGCAATACATCAGAATACATCAGATCTGCACGAATTGCATAATCTGGATCGCATGATTTCCATACATGTGCACGTAATACTGTGTATTAAGAATTAATATTTAGTACTTATTCAGTGTGACATTGAAGTTTCGTACACAGGTCTCATCACATTTCTCTCTGGAAACTCTAATCCAGCATTGCATAAACAACATTTGAGGTCACGCTGTAATGATATATATCAAGAATTTTATTATAAAGAGTATAGAAAGAAATTGATAACAAGAATCCACCCGAAAGCGGTCAATGCCATCATTTGAACTCCTGGCGCGAAACACCAAATCACTCAAAGATATTGCATGTCAAGAGACATATTGATTACAAAAAACTATTTACATGGATTTTCTGCACATTACGCAGGGTTACATACCCAGCTTATACACGTTCTTCTACTACATGGAAGTGTTCATGTCTCTCACGCACAGTACCACATATGTCAAAGATGAGTGAAGAAGTTCCAGCCAAGAAGATGCAAATCCTATTGGACTAGATGTACATCTCGCTACGTACGGGATACAATTTTCTGGGCCGATAAGTTTTGTGTAAATTATGGAAAGTCGGAATAATACGGAAACTAACAACTGTGCATGAGGTTAGGCCGTGATGAGCGGGAGTGAATTGATATAATATTACCCACAAATTTTAATAATTAAATGAAAAAAAATTCTAATCATAACATGTAAACATTTTGTAAAAGCTATACCCACTTCATCAACCTAAAATTGTGAAGTTGAAGTGGGTGAAAACTGTTGATGTGTTTGTAGTAGGATTGATGAAGTTCAACGGATAGAAATCTTCATGAGAAAGTTGAAGATATGGACGAAATGAGATCGGAAGAAGTTCATGATCTGATTCAAGATATTCCCGGAACTTTAGTTTGAAGAGAAGATTCGGCAAGGAAGTTTTAGAGCAAGTTAATGTCCGAGTGTGAAGAAGTCTGGAAACCTACAGTCTGGAAGTCTGGCATTTTTCCCGAAAATGAGAGTTTCAAAACTTGATGTGTAACAGCAATTCATTAAATCTTGTGATTGCTTTTGGTAGAAAGTTGAAGAATGAGATTCTCTAAGTTTTCATGAAGTTCTACTATATATTCCACGAATGTAATACCCAAATTAATTCACGTTTGAAGTATATTTGTAGAAAAATAAATTTGTTTCTTAAAATCAAATAATTTCGACTAGTAAAATAGTTTTTTTAATCTAATTATTTGATACATTCCATCATTCTCTCCTTTCACTCAGAATCCAATAATTTTCTTCACATCACAACATGTCATTTTCTTTGTCAAAGAAACTTATATATTGGATACATTGAATATAATTTTATTTGAATTTTATTTTTACAAATGTCAAATTATATCTTACTTTTAGGCTAAAAAAATATTGAAATTTCTACAAAGCAAATATTGAATACATTTTATTAAAACTTAAATTGAATAAATTTTTAATCTGCTTAAAACGCCATTGTATTCATTGAACCTAATATAATTTATTGTCTACGTAGACATGCACTCACTTATCATGATATTGTACTCCAATTTGCTATTCAACTTCAATAATAAAGCTTTTATTGAAGTAAGTATAAGTAAAACAATAAACTTTCAATGATTAAACTATGATTCAAGTTTACAAATATTCTTTTCAAATTGGAATGCATCCGTTTGTTGTTTTTTTTTTGCATTTTAATTTTTTTGAAGAATCTTTTATTTAATCTTTTTACTCTATAAATCTATAATTTTTATTTTGATCGTAAACGGTTTTTAATTCTATTATTTTGAGAATAATTTTAACATATGGGATTGACATAATAATAAATATAAATTTTAAATTACATATTAATGACGGAAAAAAATTACAAAAAAAAATTACATTATATAACTATTGAAGAAATTTCATTACAAAGCTAAAAACCGCAAAGCTACAAATTATGTTACCAAATTTTTTTAGGAAGTTTTAGTTCTTGAAGTTTTTACAAAAAAATAAATGAAATATAGTTAACGTTAAAACTCGATATCACTCTAAATAAACCAACAACACAAGATATACAAATATAACCTGATTCAACCTCAACGATTAAGTCCAGAGAGAAATACACTTGAGATAGTTTATTGCTTCAAGTGAAAACATAATTGTGCTCGCAAGAGTATCAAAGCATACATAACCAATGTAGAGGACCAAACTCAACTATTCATAGTTACACATGAGGTTATTTCTTAACCGGAGTTAACCTCAATAATATAAATTATTTTAATATAAATTTTTTCATTTATTCTTTTTATGATTTTAAACTAAAAAAATATTATTTCATATACTTATCTTTGAATGTCCATTTAAAAAAAATCAAATTATGAACATGAATTTATTGATCAGATTTGACGATGTTAAAGAGAAAATTTATATACTGCAAAAGAAACTTTTGATATAATTTTATTACTTATGACGAAATTTTAATTTTTAATAACGACTATTAGTTGAATTATAAAATACACTATGAATGAATAGATATTATGAACTTATTTCTATCAATATTATAAATTTTGCAGATACCATTGAATAGAGATACAATGATTATATAACTTTTATTATAAATCTTATTTTGATGTAGAATAAAAATAATATAATCATTGTATCTCTAATTTTAGTTATAAAGTCATTACAATGTATATTTTGTATTTCAATGACTTATATGTTTGAAACGTTTTTTTGATTCAATTCAGTAAGATGAAATATTGACATATCTTTGCGAACAAAATTTCAAATTATGTATGATAAGTCATGAACAGTTTGCATTTTTTCCATTTGATTATATTTATATCGTAATTTACCTTTATTACATTTGTCAATACACATAGATTAATATAAACTCTGCTTAATCAAATTTTCATATGAGTAATATAATCTAAGTTCCCATTTAGTTTCATACTTATAGAAGATATAATAAATTTGTTTCAATTTGACGGGATCAACTTGAACCATTTCATGTGCATACAGAGCAAATATGACAACGCAAAACATAAAAGCAAAAGATGTCATCAGCCTGATGTATCCATCTTGAGCAAGTGATTGATGAACCGAATGTTAAAAAACACCACAATATAATTGCGCGTATGTGAGCGTTGTCATTGTTTTTTATCAGAATTATGAGGAATAGTAATACTTTCTTTAAATATCTCTGAAGTGAAAAAAATCTGTAATAAAGAGTTTCTGAAATCCAAACTAACAAATAAAACGCTCAAATGATGTTTACTTTACGGGATAAGTATAAGAATGCTATTCCTAAATGTATAATCTTCTTTCTCCCGTGTAGCCATAGGTGTACTGACTGGATGCATACTACTATTCGTAAAGGGAAAATGACCACCAAGTGACGGACGTGCCAATTTGTAACAAGTTGTCGTTGGAGACATATTTTTATGAATGATGCATGAGATGCGGAATTGTGGGTCTTCGCTATCGCGCAGCCGCTGTGCGATATTGTGACAAGTGCGCGCACCTGCGTGGCACAGTCTTCGACATTGGCGGTTCGATTTCATTCGCTCCGGATTCGAAGCTCTTTGCTTTGTGTTTGATTCTCGATTCTGTCGTCTGATTGCTCGGAAAGTGGGACGTTTTCTGCAGCCTCACAATTCGAGTGCAAAATGTGCGATTAGAGGATATCGTGGGTGTAGAAAGCGTGGAAGTGCTGAAGAATGACATAGGCAATTCTGCAACTGGAGAGGTCGGTTCTTTATGAAATGGATTTGAATAGGAATAGGCTGGTGCTTGTACTTCTGCGTGTTCAGAGGGATGTTTGGTTGATCAAGGCCAAGATTTTGGAGGATTGTTCGGGTTCTCGGAACTGCTGGTTTGGTTTTTTCTTATGTTAGCCCTTTACAATGTTGATGATAATGATGGCTCGAGCTACTCACGACATGAATTTGTAAAATTTTACCGTCGTATTTCTAGTATTTCTAGTCTTTCCTCTGCTGAATTGCTCCTTTTGAGAATTTTAAGAAGGTATGTTTCTCCTGCCGGCTTTGGGGAATTTTTGCACGGGAATTGTTAAGAATTACATGTCTCTGGTCCAACAGACACCCTGGGCCGCGGCTCGATATGGGATTTGGCCAGCTAGAACCCACCCTGTTTCAAATTTTGGAGTTTATCCCACAGGCAGTGCAAGGTAGATTTGCGTGGTTGTGATTTTAGATAATCAGAGATTATGAGTAGAAACGTCATCATCGAGTGCAGACTTGCAGTCGTAGTTCATGTTTGTAGTGAACTTCTTTGGTACGATAGATCTCCAAAGCTTCATATATATGATCGGTCTTCTTCTCGACTTACAGGAAATATTTGTGCAAGTACTGCTTTATGCCTTACCGGAAATGAAGATGAAAGTGTTTTGATTTGATTACATGTCTCTCTGTATTTGTCGTTTGGAATGTACAACTTTCTAGCTTACGGCAACCCTTGGCTGGTGGTCTTTGTTATTCTATATGGATATCATATTTTGTATCATAACAGCCCAGCAGATTTGACTTAAGGAAGGTAATCTAAGCAGAATACTTTAAGATCGTAAAGCAAGGCGCTGCTACCAGCGGATCAAACGTTGTTATTGCCAGTGTAGAAGGGCTCATGAATACAACAGAGCATTGCAAAAAAAAATCTTGGTTATATCGGGAGGAGGTCAAATCTAGTCGCAAAAACTGTTATTTACAAGTCACTAGGCAATAACTCTACGGAATCAAGAGGTGGAAGTGCATGGAAAATGTACTCATGAGTTTACCTTAGTAAACTCAGGAGTAGCAGATTTTGCAGTCCCACAGAACTGGCTTCCATTGACAGTAGAAGGAGATGATATACCTAAGTAAAGGTAAATGCATCTCTGATGATGACCACCTCAAACCTTATGTGGATTTCTTGTATGTCAACAGGGTATGCATGAAAGAGTTTCATGCACACCTTTTTGTAGCAGCGGGCAGTTTCTTCGTTTTTTGGAATAATTCTCTCAATTTGACCTAGGCTAAAAGGCTGCAATTTAAACCCTGCCTTCAATATCTACATGTTGTCTGAAGTACATCCTTCTCATACCGAATGATAGGCTAATCAGTACCATTCACCTGCCAGTTCGTTCTCCATGCCTCCTATCCCCTTCTAATGGTTGAGCAGATCGTTGCTTACATCGATAATGTGTTAATGTTTGACCATGAATGGGTTTGCAGCTCGTAGAAGCAGGTGTGGGCCGGGTTGAAGTTCTGTTTCAACTTTGAATCAATCTGGAAGATCTGGAGCTATAACGACAGCGTCCATTGGTTGTCGTTCACTCCATCCGGTCATATTACACCATATCTTTCTGTGATCCCAACGATGTCGCCAGAAGGATCAAAACCAGGGTTCCAGGTGGATCAGCGAGTACAGAGCGTGAAAGCCGAGAAGACTTCTAGCAAGCAGTTGGGAACTGTGAAATATGTTGGGCCCGTAGAAGGATACGATGGACTGTGGGTCGGTGTGGATTGGGACACTGGTTTGGGTCGCCACAATGGCACTGTCAACGGCAAACATTACTTTGAAACGACAACGAAGGAGTCGGGCTCGCTGGTTCGCCCAAATAGTCTCAGTACTGGTATCACTCTAGCCGAAGCTTTGATCGAGCGGTACAACGCCTCGGCTACAACCACTTCTTCAGGAGAAGGTAAGACTGGTACTTACTCATACGAATTTCATGAATGGACTCTTGCTTTTCGCAAGTGCTATACAAGTTGCTGAAAAGGTGTCTTTTCTATTAATACACTAATGTAAAAGATGAATTACACTTTTTGGTTTGCAGACGGTATGTACGTGATGTCAGTTCGACAGAGACGGATGACAGTAGAACTCGTTGGGAAGGATCAAATCGAGGAAAAGCAGAAACATCTGGAAGATCTGAAAGTTGTTATTCTTGCTTATGCTGGCGTTTGCTCCGCTGGGCCACGGGGCCAAGTAGGTGGTCTTGCTCCATGTATGTGATTACTCACCCTCAAACTGCTCTCTTGGTTGGGAACAACTTTGGAGTTATCATGGACAGATGTGCTTTCTGAGAAGGAGATGTTTTTAATTTTTGGAAGTACCTTGGTTCATGTGTTTCCTTTTTTTTTGGTAAGTCCGGCGAAAATAAAGTGCATGGTTTAATCCTGCTTACTCGCTTAGGTATCAAGGAGCTCGACCTGACCGGAAATCTGCTTCCGGATTGGAACGTAAGAGACATTTTTGTTGCGCTTTATTTCTGGGTTTGAAAATGAGTATGTAAGGAAGTCGCTTCATTGTTTTCAGAGGATCAACTTCAATAGCTATGAGGAGCCTCTGTAAATGAACATAATGTTTTATTAATTTCAAATGCCTAAATTTAAGGTCTAATCAGTATCATCGTGGAATCTGTTTTTTGCCTCCTACTTTTGAGTTGCCTCTCTGGACGAGCGCATCAAGCACTTTTCACGTTGACTTGACCGTGTGATATGGTAGTAGACTCTAATTATTCTGTTGTAACAGGCTGTTGGCCAGATATGTGATGAGTTGCCTTTGTTGAGGGTTCTCAACCTTAGCTGTAGCCGTATAAGCATGGACGCAGAGAGTATAAATCCAGCGCTTTCCAACATTCAAACTCTTGTCCTAAACAACTGTCATATTACGTGGCAGCAGGCATGTCACTCACCCCACTCGTATGAAGTCTTGGGGTCTTGTTATATAAACTTTTTGAATAATCTGCTTTATATAGCTACCAATATACTGAAGCAATCATTGATTTATGTTTCTATTTGGTGCCATATTGAGAGTTTGTACGGTTTGCAGGTGGATCAACTGAAGCTATCGCTAAAATCTTTGGAGGAACTTCACTTATGTGGGAACAATATCAGAACTATTGAGGTTTGTCTGCCAACGAAAAACTTCTCTTTGTATCCGTGTAGACGAGAGGACTTGAAGTATCGTTTGTCAGTGGTTATGCAGTACACGCAGTATTATACATATCATGCCTCTTCCATAAGGGTTCGGGTCAATTTTAGTGTATTGGATTGTTTTCAGTTAGGCTGCACTCTTATTGATCAGCCGTGAATGGTCATTAGTACGGCTAGAACAAAAATAAGCGGTTAACCTAGAAGGTGCAAAATCAAGTGGAGCAGGAGTGAGTGTGAGCCTTCATGTGTGATATTATCTACTAAGTTTCAGTAGTTATTGATGCCCACGCAAATTTACAAGGTTTGGCTTGAAGATACGCTATGTCTAGATGGCCGTTCCAGTCTTATCATGCTCATGTTAACTCGGTTCTTCCCACCTTGCTTTGCATTATTTGCGTGGTTTATTAATTGTGGTCTATGAACAAATTGTTTTTCGGTTATGATAGGCTAGTGAGCACGGCGCACCAGGTGTCTTTGTTGACGGATTTGAATTATTGCGACTGCTGAATCTTGAAGACAATAATATCGTGGACTGGGCAGAAATTCTGAAGCTTTCCAAGCTGAAAAGGTGATTTGACCTCTCGTCACTAGTTCTTTGGTTTGACCTTCATAGTCCCAATGAATTCGAAATCGTACTTGATCGAAGAGAAGAACGGAGGGTGTCAAGACTTGGCATTGGCGTAATTAGTGCATTTCCGTTGATTCTGTAGTTTGGAGCATCTGAATTTGAACTCAAATGGATTGGAAGAAGTTTTATATCCTGTTCTGGATCCATCGTTCGAGGAAGATAAAGAGGCAAAGAAGTCAATTCCATTCCAAAATCTCCGGTGTCTTCTTTTAGGTAAGGTTTGCTTGATGTTATCCTAGAAGGATGCTCGTTTAATAACAAGGATCGGATCTTTTGTGTGGTGGTTTTGAAGAAGGTTTGTGCTGAAAAATATTTATGAGACTAATAGTGGAGTGCAGGTAAGAACAAAATTGCACGTTTGGACTCTGTCGATGCGCTTAACCACTTCCCTTCTCTCAAGGTATCTACAATAACTTCACCAGAATGCTGCCTCTGTATGTCTTCACCTTCACACGGGTTTTCACAAAAGTATCATACACACTTTGCCACATGTGTTGGCATAGGAGGTTTTGCCAACCAGTCTTTAGTCGTAGATCATTGTCTTGTTGGTGCTGGCGAACATGTAAGTTTTCTATAGAAATACGGTTATGCTGCTTGATAAAGGGGGAATTTCTACTTTCTTTTCTATTACCGACCTTTACGCTGCTCATTACCTTTACAGGACGTGCGACTATCAGAAAACCCACTCGTAGATGGAGCTGGGGTAAACGCATCACGTTTTTTGCTCGTCGCACGAATTGGAAACATCACAAGCCTCAATGGGAGTGAAGTAGGTGTTCAGATCATACAATTTTTTGTAAAATTCTTTTCGAAAAGTCCAGAGTAGCAACTCTATATTAGTTACTGGCCTCCCTGCGTAAATGTATTTTGGTTCTTTCGCACGCTTGTGGAAAACGACGTATGACTGTGGATGAAGCCTCTCTTGTATGTATGATCCATGTTATGCTGGGATGTCAATTCAGGTCAAAGCAAGAGAGAGGAAAGATGCAGAGATCAGGTTCGCTCACCATTCGCCTGTCTACTTGCTTAAGCTGGGGATCACTTTAACCTTATAGTTGGTCGTCGTATATTTTAGAGGGCAGTGAATAAATTATCCTTTTACTAAGCTCATGTGAAAAATGAAACTGGTTTCCAGATCATATAGTCTTGGTTTCATTTTTAGATAACTTGTCTATAGTGGTCGGGTGCACCGTTCATCTTTCTCATCCGCTAGTGTGTCAGTCATATTCTTTCTACCAGGGATTCTGATAACTTGTCTGTATTATTCGACTTATTGTGACGTTTTTCAGCCTAGAGCCCTTGCCCCTGTCTTCTTATGGAAGCCTACTTACAGAGTTTCCATGACTTGCGACAGGTATGTGCGCTATGTTCTGAATAGTGTGTTGGGACAGATCGATGATTCAGTTCTCAAGAAACACCCACGGTGAGTTTTGCATTACTATCATTCCATTGGTTTAGATTCTGTTTGACTGCAACTTCCGCGAGTAAAAACTGTGGAGATTGCCGGCTTCACCATGAGGTTTCACTGACTTCAAAATAGGCTGGTGTCCTTCACTTTAGATAGCAGCTACTTTTGTAATGGGTTAGGAACCCATTTGTGGTAAATGTTTGAATGAAGTGATGTTATAACCCGTCGATGACTACATGCAGATTTTTGGAACTTAAAGCTAAACACGATATCCCTATGGAGTCAGCGCAATCTGGAGCAGCCCTTGCATCCCACAAAATGTCAGCAAGCTTCCTCTGTACGTAACTGCTAATCTTTAGAGCAAATATGTGTGACTAATCGCTTTCTAGTAGGCCATAGTTGTGATCTTCGGTAGATGCCTGATGGCTATACTTTCTTGTCCCGTAAGGACAACCGTTGGGCCCTTGGAAACCCATGGAAACCCGCGTTGTGAATCTTCTGGATGATTACGTACAGTGAATTTTTGAGGATAATGGAAACTAGCATCTTAATTCTGCAGTGGATCATTAGGCCCGTATTAAGGCAGTTTCATCATGGGCACGGCCTATAAAAGTCTTTGTGACTGGACTTGTTTGCTATCATGTCTTGTGACTGGCTGGGGCCGACTGACAATATCTTATGAAGTGGAGGGGTGATGATTGGTATGTGGATGCCTGTTGATTCGGATTTGTTTGCGCAGCTGTCACTATCATGTGCGTTTCACTGTCCGTTGGAGAGAAGGCTCCTGTGACTAGGAAATTGCCCTCATCAACAACGGTGGGTGCTCGGAGCACCATTCTCGATGTTTCACCCATGAAGATTTCATAGAAAGAAATATAGATCGTGGGATCAGAGTTGGGCTTAATGCTTGGATACCATGGATGCCAAGAACTATAGGTATCCAATATGGCGCTACGTAAGTAACAGGTTGGCCATATGCAGGTTGGTAAACTGAAGCAAATATGCGAGGGACTCTTTAAGGTGAAAGCGGCAAATCAGTGCCTCTACGTGAAAGACGAGGTACGTGCTCAACATCTTGCTCGATTCTTATAGTCGATCGGTTTGAGTTCTTGTTAAAGTACAGTTTTGATAGACTAGTAAAATTTAAGCAATGAGTGCAGATACGTTGTTTTGTGAACCTAGTGATTTCTTCCATGTTGATTTTGGACTCATTATCCTGACGCTGCTTACATCAAATCGCAGTGCAAATTTCACTTAGGTGGAACCTCATGTACTTCTACTTGATCGCAGGACACTCCTCTTCCAGTCGCCTTGGATAATGACTTGGAAAGTATCCATGATCTAGGACTTGGACAAGACTCGGTTATCCTGGTGGATGAAGCAAAAGGTCACTAACATCCTATTTTTGTAATCTATTTCCCGATTTTTTCCACCTGCATTTTTATGAGTTGTCTTCTGCAGTTTGTGAGTCCCATTTACAAAACAAGGTCATCAGCGATGGGAAAAGGCTACTTTGCCACACTTAGCTCTTTTAGATTTATTTTTTCAACTGTATAATGCCATCGTTCTCCTACCTTTGGTTTACCATTGTGAGAGTCCTTACGCAACATGAAAGAGATAGCAGATGGGTAAGTAGGCCTGGAACTCCTCAGGAGATCGCTGTAGTTTATGACAACACACTTGACTGGTTCGTTGTTTTAATTGCTGGTCGTCGGATATGACACGTAGTCGTCGGAGATGAGGTTTTTTTGGAAATTCTGTTTCTCAATAAAGGGGTGCCTGAGTCACATTTGAGCACTTTTCTGAGGAGACAACGTGTAGAAAGTTCACGAAAGAAGCCTATTCACTGTCACTGGCCTTCTTATTTGCTCAGAAAGCACTATTCAAGTCCAAGTTGCAGGGTGAGAAAGCGGCAGGTAATTCATTGCTGTTTTCGTCATGCATGCTGGAAGAAAGTTCTGACTTATACTTTGTAGAACTCAAATACGTTGGAGAGTGCGAACGACAGATATGTGGACAAGATGATCGGTTACAAAAAACGGTAGGATCTGGTCGTGAGTCACTGGAACTCGGTCAGATCCTGGACGACATCAAGAGACATCTCGAAGGTGACATTGGAGTTTCAACCTTCAAGACAATGCAGGAAGACACTGAAGTGTGCATGGATATGTCCAATATATTCGACGGGAAAGGGCTGATCCATAGACTGTTAGATTGCGGCTAATAGCTTTAGGAGTTGAAAGATGTACTACTGGTGAGTTTTATCAATGTACACCGCATAGAAATCAATACAGTGCTTGTGTGTCGAACAATTTTCGAGTTGTGCAGAAACTACCGGAGATGTTTTGCCCAGGTTTGATATGTGTCTGCTCGAAAGGCAGTGGAATATCTGAAATAACGCGTATTGTTACTTAAAACTTGGTTGTTTGATCGCTGGTTAAGGAGAGAAGAATGTGAATGGATACGTGTGGGAAGTGCTTGATGTACTTTGTGGCTAGGAGCATGTCCTTGTTTCGTTCGTAAGGTTGATCAGACACCACCAACATTCCCGAGTGTGTATCACACTCGGGAAATTAGCTAGGTTGTAACTGCCTTCATGAGCTTAGTCGGCCGCTTGCGTGTCTGAAGTCTTTCTTATTGGATGTCCTAAATTTTTCAAAAGATACAAGGATTCATGATCACTCAGCCTATTGAATGCCTACATGTTCTACGCCCCCGCGTTAAAATGACAAAGCCCTGCAAAAAGGGAAGCCGGCCATTATGAATCACAGCACAGTCAAAGAAAAAAAGTGCTAGGGGAAACTATCGTACAGAAAGCCTTCCAGCTTGTGCTTGAATACACCTATGAGGTACATTATGGTAAGTTTTACCTTCAATGGTTAGCCGACTAAACGTGTTGTGAATTGCATATGGTTGTTGAGGGATTACCACGCGTGGTCCATCTGCCACCACTTTTCTTTCAAGTCGCAGTTGTTGCAGCTTTAATTACTGTCAGGTTGATGAGTTAGTATAGATTTTCGTGGTTGATTGCTGGAAAATTTTTCAGCTACTGTCAATTCTAGAAAGAAATTCGGTACAAGAGAGTACCTTGTCGCACTGAAGTGTTCCTCTCTTGTTTTCCTCCTTATTCATCTCCAAGTCCTCATTCTTCTCACCAGTACCGATCCAGATAGCTGAGCCCATGTTTTCAGGCTATTACAGGCACATAATTTAGAGTATGAGATTTGATGCACATACTTTAGAGATTTGAAACCTAATACTGTTTTACATTTTGAGTTTCATTCTTACTTACGGTGTTTACTTTCAATAAACGAGACTTGTGTCCGAATAAATTCGATACCGTCTGTACTGACAAAGCTCGCGTGGGTAAATCCTGTGGATCCTTGGAGACTTAAGATGTGATTCTGATGAAAATACAATTTAGCGGTGAAAGCGGATAATTGAAATATTCGTTTAACAAGAAATTATTAGCTAGAGATTAACAGCTTGACTGGGCCATATATAGCCCATGGGAACATATATGTCACTATATCTGAGTTTTGCTCATGTACTTTCAAGTCCTAAACCCAACCTCGTCCAACGTCGTTCTGGATGACTCCAAATCCATTGCATTAAGATGTAAGTAAACTTTCTGTATATCTCTATATTCGGAGACCTTGGGTGATGCGTGCACACTCGTTGTACATATATATGAAGATGAGTAACTAATTGACCGCTCAGAAACTCTATCATGTGTTCGACTGGTAACCACGACATCTGCAACGGTAACTTGGTATTCTTTAACCACGTATAATACATCCGCTCTCAACCTCTTGTACTGTAATAATTGAAACTAAATAAGGCATTTACTGGAACTACCATTGATAACATGGTAGATAGAAGGAGAAATCAAACCTGGTTCGTTAGTTCACAGTACGTCCACTGAACACTGCGAGACGCACTTTCGTGCGAAGTGACGTCCGTCGGAGTCGTTTCTAGTTACATATTTAAGTGCAGTTAAATGAGGCCGTAAAAATATATAGCAAAGAAGATGATGGGAAGGCAGTAAAAAACAGGAAGAACGAAACGAGGGGAGGCGGCGGTGTTGTGTGTAGGACTTCCACTGGTGACAAGTGTCGAGAGGAGAATGGATCAAATGTTCGATTCTATCTGCAGAGCCAATCGGGTGCAAATTCCATGTCATGAGGACTTTGGCTGCCTATGGCACAGTAGGTTGCATCGAGTATGACCCGTCATGTGGTCCATCCTTCGTCATCCCAGTTCACCCGGTCGACGAAATTTTACTTCTCTTCTCGTGCTACTGTTGGTGGTACGTCACGTGTCACGGTAGATAACCCAATCGAAACGGGTTCCCTACAGGAGAAGTCTGTTCGTTAATCGTCGCTAAGCTTAATCATACCACAAGAAACTCATAATAAATATTGATCTCTTTCAGTCTTTCCATGTATGTATCTTTGATTGATCATAGTTCTCTTGTCTACGATGTTCCATTGCACTTATGAACAGAAATTATAGTCTTAGATTCTGGTTGTTTCCTTTCTTGTGTTGAATCTGTGGTTATATCGTTGTCGTTAAGTGTATGAAATTCATTCAATTCAGCCCATTTGCTCACCCATTTTTTTGAGTCAAGAGTTTTAATATACTCGTCAAAGTTGAGCTTATTCAACCGATGGACCGGTGCTTTCAAATTTATTTTCCGCGATCGAGACATCCACATTACATGCGCATTACCAGTTGCCTCGTTACCAGCCTAGGGTCTGTCTAACTTGACTTGCGGCAGCCAGGGCTCCGTAATTCTTCCACTTCGAGTTAGGAGCTCTTTCTCTTTCTCTCTTTCTCTATTTTTTTCTTTTTACGCTCATTGCATTGGCATGAAGATGTAATTTTATCTTGCTCAAGAAGTGCGTCATGATTCGATTATTACTAGTTCTCAAATAAATATCATAATTAATTTTGCATCACAAACTCATGTGTACGTTTTGGAATGATCACACTATGTTTAATCATATCGATCAGGGAGTGATCGAGTCTTATAGGTATATGATAAAGCTTTGAGGTTTACTTTCAACAAACTTCAACACAAAGAAGAACACTCATGATAGTTTCCTTCAACTCTTTTGGATGATGAGGATGCATGGAGAGTTTGCAGTAAAGTTGAACAGGTCTCTCAACATATATATATATATATATATATATCTGAATGTATAACATATTATTTTTCTATCATAATGCAAGTCAAAATCTCAAAGCCCAAGTCTTGAAAGGGAAAGGCAGTAGTTTGCAGTTTTAAGAAAGTATTTAGATGTGATTTATTTTCGATAGTCAGAACATATTCAACTAGATATGCGAATCACGAGTAGTGATTGAACTATTGTGCTCAAGATAATATCATGAAAATTACTTTTCGGCCAATCATCCTTCAGACGCAAACAATTAGTTAGACATTCTTCAGACGAATCATTTGCGCGTAAAGGATGCACACGCCTTTAGGGTGGTTGATGAATTTGTACAGCTTCTTAAAATTTCCACTGCCGTGTCCGAACAGCACACTGTGCTGTAAATACATGATTCAAAGAGTCTCTTTCACTCACAAGTTGGGAGGATCTAAGCTACTGACCCTAAACATGACCATGACAACCTTCCATTCATTCAATCTATAAAACGGTACAAGGAATATTCATATCTATCAACTCAAAAATCGAATTAAAATCCCGAAACAATACAACTTTCGACTCAACGACAAAGAAGTTTCAATCAACGTCACCTTGAATTTAGTCCACTCCCCATGGCAAACTCAGAGTAGGAAAGGAACGCATGAGGACACTGCCTGCACCTGTTTTATTGAACTCGTTATGCTTAAGATGGAAGGATAGATCGTAGTACATACGCCCAGCAGCAGGAGGATAAATCATTCTTTCACTTGGTGAATGGCAAAAGTAATTAATTGGTGACGAGGTTCGCTCTATCTTGGAGGGTATTTTTCGCTGCACTGGTTACGCCTTGCGCTCCTCACTTCTGGCAGGCAGGGAAGCAGGTCAGGCGCGGCGTCGTCTTCGTCGTCTTCGTCCGCTCCTCTTGCGCAGCTCGTCCGCTGCTGCTGCTGGTGCTGCTGATTTGCACGCACTACTTGATTCCAATTTTCTTGCAGCGTCGTCGCCACTTTCTTGCTGTGGATATAGCGCCTCGGATCGTCAGCTTTGCGGGAGTTGGGGCGTTTTTCTCCTCTGCCGACTCCAGGTGGAACTCGAACAGACTTGCTCCGGGAGACGAGTCGAGTGAAGTGGAGAGGGAGGAGGAGAAGGAGGAGGACGGTGAGACTGAGGAACCACGAGGAATTTTGGGTGGCAAAGAATCGGTACAAATTCTCGTGAAGCGAGGCCGGCGAGCGAGCGAGGGACGAGAGGAGAGGAGAAGAGAAGGGAGGAGTCTAGTGAAGTGAAGTCAACGGGACGTGATTGGAATTGGGGAGGTTTAGGACGATCTTCGTCTGGGAGGATTGACAGCTGCAGCAAATGTTAGTGAGAGAATTGGAAAGGAAGGAGGTAGGAGCAGGAGGAGGAGGAGGGCGAATTGCGGATTTCAGACGGTGAGGCAGGAGGGAAGCGCGAGGAGATCTTTATTTTGTGTGGAACAGGAACAGAGAGCGAGAGCAACGATGGCCCTCGTCGAGCGCCTGGCGAGTGCGGCCCTTATTGGTAGGTGGTTTTCCTTTTGCCTCGAGTTCGTACGTTTTGACCAATATTTTGAAGTTGGAGGTTGTCTTTGCAAGAGTTCTGGAAGATATGCCTTTGAACGTGCGGCACCATTCGCTAATTGATTTTCCGACCTAGATCTTCAGTTCTGTTAGTATCCTTTGCCCCCGTGGTTTTCCCTTTCTCTCATGGTAATTGTGTACTCTTGCTTCCTCTGATTCACGTTGAATAATCTGTGTACGAAACGCGACCGACTCGGCTGTTGTGCCTAAGCCGGCCAGCATAGTTTGGAACTGTCTCAGGCCGGCTGGATTGTCTTAGCTCGATACCTGAGTCACTTAGGCTCTTCGCAGCTGGAAACTGGGAGTTATCCAATGCCCTTGCATTTCTTGATCATTCTCTACTGCATCGTGTTGGAAAAGTTGCTCCAAGTGGCGCAAGTATTTGTTGGGCAGCTAAGCCTGTCTCGCGTGATTGTGGTGTTTAGGTCAAGTATGGAGCTTCGTGCTGCTGTGTAGTCTCCGTTGTCACTGATAGTAACATTCACTCTTTACATAGCCTGGAGAGTCTTACATGTAGGTCGAAGCTTGCAGTCGGTTTTCAAACTTCCATACAATCTACGTCCTGATTTTTGCGGATGCCTTCCGTACATGTTATAACCCATGTTAGCTTACACCATTATTCGTCAGATAAGTATGAACTACCCTCGTGACGTTAACATCATTATGCTTTTTCCGTAGATCATTTTATATATGCTGCAGTAGAGTGAATTTCCCTTGGGCCCACGCTAAGGCTTCAGGGTCATTCACATGTTGCCCATTAGTCTCCTTTTGCTCGTTCACGCTTCGGGTTGGCAAGGCCCTCTAAATTATCAAATAGAACAATGAGAATGAATGAAGTGAGAAAGATGGGCGGCTTATTAGATGAAAAGTACGATGCAAAACCATGGATGAAGGTACTCAGGTCACCGAAGAATAGTATATCAGTAAGATATGTCATAACCAGCTCCGGGGAAACTTCGAGTGCTCCGTTACATTGAGGAATTGAAGCTACTCGACGTGAATCAGTATTTCATGCGTTTGGTTTGTCTCTAAATTCGAGCCGTATACAGCGCGATGATTTTTCTCTAGCAATCATTCTGTCTGGTCAACAAAGGTTCTCGATATTGATATAATATCGACGCCTCTTATTGTTTCTGCAGGTCTTAGTTTCCCAATTAAGCGAAACGATTTGAACTTTGGCGTATCAGCCTTTTGTTCTGTCAATCTGTTCTCAACTATCCACGCATTTTTTGTTTTGTCGCAGGTTTGACTTTGGCGCCTCTTGTCGTGAAAGTGAACCCAAATTTCAACGTTGTGGCCACAGCATGCCTTACCGTATTTATTGGTTGCCATCGCTCTGTAAAGCCAGCTCCTCCGACTGTGAGTGTTTCTTCTGTTCCTCTTGGAGTATATTAATATAAAGTAGTTCGTTTGAATGAAAGATGTCTTCATACGTTTGTAATTGCAGCAAGTAGGCATCTTGTTCACGAGTGCTTCGCAACGATTCCTCGTGTCAAGGTCTGAGAAAGTGTGCAATATTACTTAGACTTGTGACGTCAAACTACTTGGCGATATTGTTTTTCACAAATTTCCTTCACTCATCCTTTACATGTAGAGTTGCAAATGCCACCTTCTTTGTAGTACGTCTGAACCGGTGAAAATAATGGTCTTGTTACTCTCTGATCACATGAGTGATCCATTGCATTTTTTGTGCTCTAAACTGTTATTTTTCAGGAAACCATGTCAAAGGAGCACGCTATGCGCTTTCCCTTTATCGGCAGCGCAGTTCTTCTTTCACTGTTTCTTCTTTTCAAGTTCCTACCGAAGGATTTAATCAATACAGTTCTCACAGTCTACTTCTTCGTTCTAGGCGTTCTTGCACTATCGTATGTACACCAAAATCTTTCACTTGCACTTTCCTCGGTGTTGTGCTTGTATCGCCTTCTGCCTGTTGTATGTCTCTACAATCCCTTCTTGTCATCGTTGGTTGTTAGTAATTGCCTCACTCATTCGTTTTTCTGGGACTTCATGGTGGGACGTTTATCCTATAATATATGATTCTTCATCTGCTGACAAACTGAATTCGCGATTCTTGTCTGACAGAGCTACCATACTTCCATTGATTGAAAATTTCCTTCCACCCAGTTGGAACGACAATGATAATGCCGTTTCATGGCATCTTCCCTACTTCAAAAGTTTGTCCTCATCCTTTGTAGGACGATAATGTCCATGTTTCTGTTACGCAATGTAGGATAAGCAGAGTTCCATGGTGTTACATGCTGTTAGACGCAGACTTCTCTATTTTGTCCAAGGTTACTTCAGCTTTGGCTCATCAAGTGGTTGTGCATCAAGAAAAGCCCATTTACTCTGTTCGAATCTTTGCGATATACGAGCGGAACCTGTGATTAAGTGTCGTCCATGGCCATTGTTTCAAGTTCCAGATACATCATTACTGTTCTGTCCACGTATTTATTCTAAGGCTTACTTTATTCATCTAACAATCTGTGTACTGGACGTTGTAGATGTCGAGGTAGAATTCACGAAGTCACAGGTAGTTGCAGGCATTCCCGGTACCTTCTTCTGTATCTGGTACGTGTTTAAGAAGCACTGGTTGGCGAACAATACACTTGGATTGGCCTTCTCCATTCAGGTATGTAAATCCCAATGAAGAGCTAGCAGTCGTTTGTGGTTCATTATCTGTCTTCCTTTTGAGATCCACGTTTTATGAATTCAGAAATTGATAAAACTTTCTTTATGTATCCTTTTCCTTCTCATGTGGATGACATGTTTCTCATTTTGAACGAACAATAGATGACGTTACATATTGAAGCTCAATGACCGTCTTTGTTAGCCAAGCAAAAATGGAAAACGGGTGAAGTCTTAGTCTTATATCCTGGAGACTGCGCTATCTCCTGCGTTGGAAGTAGAGCAAAATGAATTTACAAGCATATTACGCCTAATGTTTATTTTTGGCTACCTTTGCAGGGCATTGAAATGCTATCGCTTGGTTCTTTCAAGATTGGAGCAATATTGTTGGTACGCACCTAAATGAGGCCATTGAGATATGGGTAGTGAAGAAGTATTAGCTGGAAGCTGTGCTCATAGATTTTTGATGATGATGTATTCATATTTTGATAAATTATGTATAGTTCTGTCGAGTAGAGCGCAGGTTGACGCCACTGAACTTCATACTATATTAAGTCTTGTTAGCGGCACCGAAGTAGCGGCTATTCTCCTTGGTGTATTTCATTGTATTCTTAGTAGATTAAGCTATCACCTTATACTTGAATTGCTTATCTGGCTACCGTTAATCTTGATCTGCTTGGTGGTGTAGGCAGGGTTATTCATCTACGACATATTTTGGGTCTTCTTTACTCCTGTTATGGTCAGCGTTGCCAAGTCATTTGATGCTCCTATTAAGGTTGGTAGTGCAACCAGAGATTTCAAAACATCGAAGCGTCCGTGTATCATGACTTGTAAATATGTCAAGAAACAGAAATTGTCTTCTCTTCCAGATACAGCTGAAGACCGTACATGCCCTCGGATTGCCCTTTGGCTTCTTGTTTTACTGCATGTTCCCTTTGTAAGGTCTTGATAAGCAAATGAAAACAGTTTCGAAATCGTGTTGTATGTTCTCATACAGTTGATATTTCCGACGGGAGATTTGACAAGACCATACTCCATGCTCGGCCTTGGTGACATCGTTATTCCAGGTTTGTCTTCGTTGTTGAGGTTATTTGGAAGTTGCACATTGGCGTGCATCATATCTGCATATCCCGCAAATCGGGCTATCAATTGGTGTTGTTGGAAGGTTTCCTTTACCTGCAGTTTTGAAGCATTGACTCCTTGACATTCAGCTTTACCGTTCCAACCAAATACTCCTTGATACTTACCAATGTTACTACGAACTTATCGCACATCCAGGAATTTTTGTGGCTCTGGCCTTACGATTCGATGTATCGAGAGGGAAGGGAAATCGGTACTTCAACAGTGCCTTCGCCGGCTACACCGCAGGCTTGGTTGTCACCATCCTGGTCATGAACTGGTTCCAAGCCGCTCAGGTCAGGTCTCCAGATTTTGTGCTTCTGTTATAACATCTGAAGCATGGAGGAAAGAACTAATATGTGATTAAATCGGAAACTTGTGATGACCTAGTGAGACACGAACAATTATCACCTGCTTATGACTTGTTGACATTTAAACGCACTTTCCAGAAATGTGCTGTACAAGTTCTCAATTCTTCCTGTGTGTGCAGCCCGCTTTGCTTTACATCGTACCCGGAGTGGTTGGGTTTGTTGCTGTGCACTGCTTCATCAATGGAGAAGTGAAACCCGTGAGTCCTGTCAATGCCCATGTCGTTTTTAGTTTTTAGTTCTGTTGAAGCTTGTAGCACATCAGTCGAACTTCTGATTAATTGGTATCTCCCTTTAAATGCAGCTTCTTGAGTTTGATGAATCATCTAATGCCGAAGAGGGTTCCGAGTCTTCACAAGAAGATAAGGTAGAGCTAAAGACAAGTGACAAGAAGACCGATTGAAGTGTACCATCAGGTAATTAAAATTCCCCAGACCACATCGTTGAAGTTTTCTGCGATCAATTAAGAAGGTCAATATTTGCTGAGTTCGTGTGTTTTTCTAACTAGCTGAGGTGTCTCCTGTCTTTAGATCTCTGTCGCAGACTAAGTAAAAGTGTGAAGTCATCTGAATATGCAGTTCATTACTCCTCTCTGTTACCAACATTCTGAAGGATCCAAGAGACAAAAGGATACTGAGCAGGTTTTCCACCTTTTTTTTGGAACACTCAAGTGAGATTTGATGTTTCGACCCATCATTCTTTTAAGCGGCATTAATCAGTGGGATAGAGTGTTTCCTTCCACTCTTCGGTCTTCTTTCGACTTTAGGTAAAGTGTATTGATGCTGTCTTCAAAAATTGATGACAGTAGCGAGGATTTCCTTTCAAAAAGGTGTTCCCGTATAGGGTCTCTATCCAGATTGCATGTGGGGATACTCTGAAGGAGTACTGTTCTGTCAATAGTCGAGTGTGGTGAATTTTGAGCAGTGCTCTCACACTTTGAAAGGAAAAACCGAATGCAAACAATATAAATCACTTGGTCTGGTCTCCACGAGTCGTCGGTTGCAAAGACGGTCTTTGAACATGTAGTATCGAGTGTTTCTGGCCGATGTCATTCTTCTGTATAGTGGCTCCACGACCTTTTGGTGTAAGACATGCGACCAAAACTTGAAGTTGGAAAAAATGTCTTAAGAATCGGCAATAACTGAAAGCGTGTAATCAAAAGAGCTCGCCTTGAGGAAAAGACAATGATCAACACTTTCCTATTCTCCAACAAACTAAGTGGAAACGCACAAAACAGCAATAGCAATGTAGTTTTTACGCAAGACAAGGTCACATTAAAGATGCCTGGGCGAAATATCGAAAACATGAGTGATCTTTGGAGCTTCTGCTTTGTCTCGTCTGTCACGTGTGGCTGAACATTTCGTCGTGTGTAACGAATTGCAGCTGAGAGAAGCAATGGGTTCTATCTTTTCCATGATAACGTTGTTCACTCACCGTAGCAATTTGGAGCTGCTCAACGTGTTTGTCCAGGTCTTATCATTTTGTTACGAGGAGTTGAATTTCAGAATGTACGCTGAAATGCACGTACAATAGGAACTGTCTTGACACGTTAACCGAGTTGGTTACATCCGACGCGAAAGCTGTACACCTTTCCTGTTTATATCGAGTGGTTTGTACTTGTTTTCATTAAAAGATACTCTCCACATAATATTACAGGTTGGGTTAATATTTTTTGGTAGTTAAATTTATTTTCATTGTATAAATCCAGTTCACGGAGAGAACTCTTCTCTCTAAAACATAACTAGAACAATAAGCTCATGTACTCTTGTTATTATGTATCAAAAGAAGAGGCGAAATTGATGATATTATTAAATACGAAGAGTTACGGTATATCTTTTGACATTTTAAGATTATTTGGCAAAGGGTGTATACTTGACAGTCAAAGACAGAATACACAAAAAATTGCAAATCGAAAGTACACTAATGCAACTGATGTGAAATCAATACGCAAGGCGACCTCAATTTGAAATGTGCTTTGCTACCCGTGGTTTGTATTCGGTCAATGCTTGTTGGAATTCATTTCTTATTCCATTCTTATTACATAAAACTGACTTCTGTTCTAAATATATTTACTTTGAACATTTGTATTTTAATATAAAATTGTGAAAGTTAATTTATTTTTCTATAATATTATAACATTCTATATTTAAAAACTGATAAATATTAATCATATAGGATATACACCGATTTATTTATTAGGTATTAATTATTGAAAAAGACTTTCACAATCAGAATTTTTTAATTCTATTTATTTTTTTGAGAAAGTAAATTATTATATTCGAAATTTTTATTTATACTTTATAATATTTTTAAGTTTTTATTTATACTTTATAATATTTTTTAAGTTTTTATTTAATACAGTAATTTTATAGCGAAATCTTATTGTACCAAGAATCAAAAATTGAAATAATAACATAGATAACATTGACATTAAAACATGCGGTTGGATATTTTCGGGTTCTGTATACAAGAATAATTAATCTTTACTAAAACACAAAATAATATATGTTTTGTCATTTTCAGGTTACTTACTTAGAAATTACAAAGTTTTTACTAAAAGTGTTATGTGAAATTAAAATATATTATATGTCTAAATATATTATTAAATATAGTTGTATATACACACATATATATCAATTAGTTTTTTATTATCACAAAATAAATTAAAACATAAAATATATTAATAAAAATTTCAATAATATATGAAAAAAGTGAAATTGTATGATCATACAATTTTTTGATAAGAACGATGTGAATTTTATCTACACTATTTATGAATAGTCAATTTACTGGTAAAGAAATAACGAGTAGTGTATTTTCTGTTTGCATTGGTGTATTTTCACAATTCAAAAATTAATGATAATTGCACTAATCATTAGAACATGGTAAGTTAAAATTTGAATAAAAAAGAAAAAGTAAAAATACATTCTGTTTAACTTTATTTACTTTTGGATTTGAGATTTGAGATTTAAGATTTTCTTTTGAACATTCAATCTAAAATTATTAAATTTTTTTCTCGCTAGAAATTAATTTGTGAGGAAACATATTTACAAATTCATAATTTGATGCCTAAACTAATTCTTATATGAAATCTGAGTTCAGATTCTCTTTTTCTTTGGAAAATTAATTATATTCTTTTGCAAGTTTTTTCTTAAAAATTAAACTAACTAGGTTTAAGGTTTGATATATACTATTCTTGAATTTATAACAAAATAGCGAAAAAGTCTTTTATCAGAGAGAACATTTAGAAAAAAAACACTCAGACAACATTTGGTTTATGTCCTTGAGTTAGTCATACGAGAATACATATATGTAACTTGTTAAAAAAGTTGAACCAGAATTTTTCTAAAATAGAGGCAGTTTATGAACTGTGATGTTAAGTAGTACTCTTATTAGAACGTTTATTAATCAACAACTGTCAACTGATTTAAAATTATACATCACTGAAATGAACTCATTTCATTTTTGGGTTTAACTACGTTTTTGAAATCGCACTCTTGTTGTTTTTATACGAAATACTCGATAGATTTTTTTTAATTTGAAAAATCTGAGATTTATTGCAAACAAACGATATTACAATCAAGCTTTTCATTTCAAAGAATGAAACATATATATATATATATATCATATAACTTTTTGAGTGGATCTAACTCAGATTCATTTTGCTGACTCTTAATTTTATTTACATAATTTTTAATGATTAAAGAAAAAGAAATTATTTTTTTGGAAATATAATTGAATATTCAATAAATTTGGCTAGTTCAATAAATTTTTTTCCTAATTCCATTTCAGATAATGTGATATTGATTTTATTCATCTTGTATCTATCACGTGATTTTTGGCAAGATGCAAGAATTAATTAATGATCAATTTACAATTGAAATTTTTCTATCAACAAATTGCAAATTTTTTTAATGAATTTAAAACCAAATTTTTTTGAGCATTTTTTAAATCATATGTTTTATACATGTAACAAAAACAAATTAGTAATCTGCAGTTGCTTCATATCTAATAACAAATATGTAATTATGATTCATTCTACATCGTGCTGCTGAGTAACAAACATCAAATATAATAATTATATCTAGATTTTTTCATTTTTACTCTATCAATTGGTTTTATATGTTGCAATGATATATCATAACCAGCCTGCTTATAATAGGCGTTAAGAGTTTTTGGCGCCTAAATTACCTAAAATAATTCTTGTGAGGCGTCTAAATTAAGCCCCTCAAGACTGCTATTAAATTAAGGCCCTTGAGACCATGGCCATACCTTAATGAAGCTCTTAATTCTTAATGACTCTTAATTCTTTTGAGGTGCCTAACTTAAAGGCCCTTGAGACTGCTACTAAATTAAGGCCCTTGAGACCATAATTATATCCCCATTAGACTGCTTTGATAACAAGTTCAATGTCGAAGAACAAGCGCAACTCTGCCTCTGTAAAGGCCAATGATGATAGATATGGTTTGAAAGCTGTCTTGCGCTGTGCTTCTACTTTAGTCGTTAGCAGGGTGCTGTGTGTTTTCTGTATCATGTTCAGTCGTGAGAAGAACGTTGGTGTGAAGCGCAAGATCACAACCAACGTGCAAGGTTGGAGTGCACCATTTTGCTACGACAACATTGAGCTTCACATGAAGAATCAACACGCTGTCGAATTTGTACACTATGAAAGGTTGCGATCTTCACACGAAGATTCAACACGCTGTCGAATTTGTACACTATGAAAAGCTGCGATCAAAAGCGGAGCGAGAACATTTCTTCGATGACGTCGAGGTCCATTTCAGAAGCACTCTCAGGGTTCAATTTGTCTCTTAAGTTGCGGGCAATCGTGAGATTGTCTTTATCATCGACAAAGTCATCGTTGAAGTAATCGTCAGTGAGATGATGTATTCAACGGAGGAGGAGACTAGTGATGTTGACGATAACGACGAGCAAGAGCTTGCATTTGGAGGTGAGGCTGAACGTGAGATTGTGGTTGCTAACCGTCGTGCCAGTGCTGTGAAGACAAAAGAGCGAGCAATGGCACTTTTCAAACGCAATGAGCCAGCAGATAATGATGACAAAGTGCCCTCTTCCTATATTGTCACAATCGCGAAATCCAAAACCCAGCTCTTCAACCTTGCCATTTGATATGTCGCGTGTGGAGCATCGTTCCATATGACAACGAACATCATCGGCGAGACATATCAAGTCCTATCTGCTCAGTCGCTGCATTCTTGCTTTCGTGAGAATGTCATCAGTTTCGTTATGATAGTTTGTGCCGCCAACTTTCAACGCCTATCAAAGCTCCTGAAAAAAACTTGGACTTTATTGTTAGCGCTAGACTCAGCATCGCACCAGAGCACATCATATTTGGATGTTCCTCTTTGTGTGTATGTGAAGAATAAGCACGTTGTTGTCAACCTGCGCGGGTGCGCACTGCCAATTTTTGAACGAAACACATGCAAAGTCATGTTGAACATGATTTCTCAGTTTCTTGACGTACTTTGCACTCATTGTAGGATTTTTCTTTTTAGCATGTTGAGAGATGGAGCTTGAAATATGATATGACGTGTCACTGGCATCGTAACAAGGCTTCACGTAGAACTTCATAATGATTGTGATCTAATCCGAATCTGATGCAAAGCGCACCAGCTCGATCTTATTATGCAGCACATCATGAATGTAGTTTTGAAGGAATGATACTTTTTTTGTGATGACGGATTTTGCATCTCACGTGGCAGAAGAACCTGATAGCAGAAATGAGTGCGACATGGCCTCATGTTGTAAATCGTTGACTTTCTACATACAAGGTTACAACTCCGTTCAAGAAGCACCGGCATGAGCTCCTAGCTTACATTATGTTGAAGCAACTTGCGAGTGCCCTACCTCAACTTTGGTGGATGTACTGTCTTGCCATAGATACCTTCACGATGAATAGCGTCAAAACCTTGTGCAAGATTCAAGGCCTGACGACCCTAATATCGCAATAGCATGCGGAGCTCGATGCTCTTGTTGGCACTTTCATCAAAGATCTATGTATTAATGGCCCGCTAACAAAAGAAATGAGTTCTGTCTTGAATGTGACAACGCATATCATCAGGGGTCGGTAACCGCTCACACTTCTGAACGTGCAAGAATTTGTCGTAGGACTCGCATCGTGGATTGAGGCGTTCTTGATGCTACCGATGAGATGGAGCGTAACGAGTTGTTGCAAGATGTTGGTCTAATCTTCGTCGAAGGATGTGGTTGCATTGAAAGAATTGTTGTGCAGCACAATGCTTACAAGAACCCATTCGTTGATCCACTCGCGTTACCACTTGTTTTACCACAATAGCTTGTTCACGCTTCCGTTGCAGACTTCATTCGCAAGGTTCGTAGATAGAGCTTTCGCCTACAGCATTGATACTCGATGACACAAATAGACGTTATTGCCAACAAGCATAAAGCTCTTCTTCAAGCTTACCGCAATGAGCATGTGTTGCAAAGTAGCATTGATGGCTGTAACCAAAAAAAATCTTTTGACAGTGCTTGGCTCTTACTTAGTGTTGGGTTTCCAAACTTGGTTGAGTTTTGTGGTGGCATTGCAACTATATTGCATTGAATTGTTTTGTGGTGGCATTGCAACTATATTTCCTAGCACGAGTATAGTGGAGTTTGACTTGTCTAATCTGAGGTGGGAGAAAGGTGATCACCGCAAGAATTTTTCAGACTTTGGACTTGAAGATGTGCTACAGGCGAAGCAGTATATGCAAATCAAGGCACTTGCGGATTGTGATAATTGAGGAGCGACCTCGCATCTAGATTACAAATCAATCAATTGATCGGTAATACACATCTTGTTGCACGGATAAAACAAAATTGGCCTTCAATCTTGACTAAATGTGTCTACCGCCTAAATTCATTCTGAAACGACGCCTATATTAAGCTAATTTAGGCGATCGCCTCTTATAAGCAAGCCTGATCATACCTTTATTTCTCTTGCTGAATGAGTGATCACTTTGATATTTCTAGGACATAAGCCTTGGTTTTGATTGTTCCATTACATTCTCAAATTCTGAACACAAATGACGAGTCATACAAATGAATATCGATTCTAGTTAATATCACGCTTTTTATAAGAGACTAAAGGAAGAGGCTTGGTGACAATGCAAGTTTATAATACTTTAACTAGCTTCAGATGATCACAATTGTTTCATTGTTTCATCTTTTGTATTAGAAAATCATTAAGCATCCTTAGTAACTTCTCTAATCTTGTTTTGGATTAACTTATGGACTAGCGATTGGCCTTCTAAGGATGCCCCTTTCCAGAGTCAATGGATCGTGTTATGTAACTGGCAATTTGCCAGTTTCCTTCGTGGCATTTGATCACGGTGTATGTATGTCTAAGAGGATTGCAGATCATTATTGTGCTATGAACGCCTGAAGGAGAGAAAACCGACCGCGTTGCGTGAATATGCATCCCAGAACACATTCATGGCGCTAATGATCTGCAATGCTCTTAGAAATATAAACACCATTATCAAATGCCACGGAGGAAAGTGGCCTTTGTCAGTTACTCAACACGATTGATTGACACTGGGCACTGGAAGTGAAGGTGAAAGTGAATTTAGAGTTGAGAAGATTCCAAAAGGTGCGTAGTCCGCCTCGTATTTATCGTTCACGTCAGGACCTCTTTATCTTGAGAGCGAGGTAACGACGAAGCCGCTATAAGAGCACAGTCGGTCTTTATACCATTTACCATTAGTTTTTACAGATTGAGAATACTGACAATAGCTTAAGCTTGCTGTCAGAACTTGTACAGTGTGCGTCGACTGAGCAGCAGAAACAATTTTGCTTTAGCAACTTAAAACCGATATCGGACATGACTGAATGAGGACATTAAATAAGCCGCGGCATAAATAATCGTGTGGTGGATAAGCTCCAAATTTGATTCCGTTGCTTAACTCTTTAGAGTACTGTCACTTCATAGAAGACAATGACAAACGTTGTGCCTCATATTTCCCGATGATCTGTTGCACTGGTCAGTCGGCATGCGCAGCAGCCTTCCGTACTCAGAGGCCTCGATTTCCTCTTTGCAAGAGGAATGCACATATGATAATACCCATAAACAGTCTTACGAAATTACTATCCTTGCCTGCTAATGCACCATAAATTCGTTGATCGCAGAGATGATCTGGTCATGAGGGTCAGAGAGATCCAAGGCCCGATAATATTCAGTATTCTGACCAACTTCGTGAAATGGGAGCGAGATAGAAGGAAATAATCTAAAGGTGTACAAAGTCAATTTGATGGAACTGAAGTATTTACGAAAGGGAGGTCATTAATTAATTACGATAGGCGGGGTCAGCTTCATATTTGGTATTTTTACAATGCTTTTCTTCGTCCGCTTGATTATAGGGCAGCCAGACCTCAGCAAGGCGATTAAGCGAACAGTAAAAACTTGGATGAACTTACAAGAGTCTCAGACAACTCCATGTCCAGTGTTTAGTCAGACAAAGCTCAAGTATAAGATGACTACGAGAGGAAACCCTAAACCTCTCTCCAGCAGTTGAGACGGTAATGATATGGAATGAGAACACATATTTATAGACGTAAATATACACCTTCGAAGTAAAGTTTGACTATCTTCAGAAGTTCTTTTCAAGTTGTCAATCCTTGTGACTCCAAACAACACAACACGAAAATACAGGTTCATACGAGAGGAATGACTTGAGTGCTTCCTGTGAATCTTATTAAATGGTGCACCAGTCCTTCAGGTCATTAGCCGGACAGATATCCAGAAACATCTGGAAAGTTATTTTATAGTTCATCGACTTCAGCTCTACGTGCGTTGAATGAATGCACGCTAGACTCGAGGTTCGATTTACGTCTTAGATGGCTCCAGCGTTCTTACGTGAATGGCGTTGTCCTTCAATGAGTTACGGACCTCCGCATCTCGTGGATCATAGTGAAGTACGTAAGTGTGTCCGTCGTTGTGGATCGAATTTGGGCCCATGTGAAGAAAGTGCATTCGAGGCCTGCCAGTAGGACAAATCATCTGAGCTGCTCAGTAACTATATTCTTGCTGAGTTAGGGTGCGTAGGCTCCATAGCCGACTCCAATAGCGATCACTGACTTTTATGTCTCTGCACCATCCTCGCAACAACCACTTAGTACCGTCGACCACGGCAAGGCGGAACGTTGTTGCGATCCGTAGTTCTTTCTTTTGTTTGCTTCTTTATTTTGCATCTTACTTGAACATGCGCTGTGTTTGACTCCATCGGGTAAGTAGAATATCAGTCAATTGAATAATCTCTCATGAGGATAATCATTGCATCGAATCCATCATGTATTATCGACAGGATTAACTGGTCAAGTTATACTTTGATGTTTCTACGTGTCAATTCTAATATTTCTCTAAGTCATTTAATTCATTTAACGATTATATTATTTATGAGTTATATATCACATTCATTTCTTGAAAAACCTTAGTTTTGTGAGAAGATAATTTATTTTATAATATATATATATATATATATATATTACATTATATATCTGTATTAAACCTCATATATATAGATGTTCACATTCATCAAAAGGGTATGTTGCTCAAAGGGATAGGTTCGAACTTGTGACTAACTTTGTTGATTATGTGATGACATTACGAAACTTCACATCTATCCACAAAACCGTATTTAAACACTGCAGGTGAATAAGCCTGACAATACAGAAGAGATTGTTGATGAAATTTTCTAGGAGAGAGTACAAATCTTGTGTGGATTGCAGAGAGAAATTGATACGAGCCCCAGATGTACTAGCTTCGCAATACGAAGAGATGTAAGAACAATGTCATCACCGAAAAGAACAAATGTATGAATATAAAGCTGAGGCAATGACCGCTTGTCAGTTCGTCGACATCAGGCCCCAGTCCAAAAAGGTGGACGAAATCGAAACGATGACGATCAGATGGCATCATTAACAGCACGCAAAAGAGTTTATTCGCTTTCATCACGTGACCATGTCATCATCCGCAGAACCCTCCAAATCGATACCACATTCACCCAACTGTCTCGATTGCGACGCAGTAATGCAACACTGTTCTGCAACGTTCTAGCTTCACATCTATTCACAAGTTCCGGATCCGAATCATCAGCAGATCTGCAGGTACGATTCTTCATGCCATCACAGTGTGAATGATCGATCGTCTTCATGTCGGCGTACATCGGTCGCACCAAAAGTGTGGGTCCCCTCCCTCACGCCCTTTGTTACTTTCACCCACCTTAAACTGAAGTCAAACCGACTTCCACTTTAGATAGAGCCCACAATTCTAGCAGAGATCATCCATTGCTCCAGTCCGACTGGCTCCCGCGATCGCTCGGGCTTCCTACCACTCATCCACATTCTGCCATGTCGGCCTCATGACTTGGCCGCCGGCAGAGCTTGCATTCCCGTTCCAAGTCCCGATCGGCATCACCACCTCTATATATAAACACAGGCTCCTGCTCTCACTGAACATCCCACAACTACCAGCTCGCGCTTCCCCTCTTTGTTTCCCTGCAATCGGTCAGCACTTCACAATGGCATCTGTGACAGCATGCGCTTCCACTAGCTTGGCCGGTCAGGCGTTGGGCCTCAGCAGCAATGCTCTCGCAGCGAAAGTGAACGTCGGCGAAGCCCGCATCGTTATGCGCAAGACCAGCTCCAAGAGCTCCTCCAGCATCTGGTCGGTCCCTTAACTGAATCCACAGTCTGAGTCTCAGATCTGTACACCATGTCAGCAGCCGATATATGTGTACCCTGTGTCAATTCTGTCTTGTTCGCAGAAGTTTCGATCTGCCCATTTTCTCGAGCGAAATTAAGATTATATGTTTCGGGATCATGATACTGATGTTTGATGTTCTTTTGTTGCGACAGGTACGGCGAGGACCGACCCAAGTACTTGGGCCCGTTCTCTGGTGCCACTCCCTCGTACTTGACCGGAGAGTTCCCTGGTGATTACGGGTGGGACACTGCTGGACTTTCAGCTGATCCCGAGACCTTCGCCAAGAACAGAGAGTTGGAAGTGATCCACGCCCGATGGGCCATGTTGGGAGCTCTGGGATGCGTCACCCCCGAGCTGCTGGCCAAGAACGGCACCAAGTTCGGAGAGGCAGTGTGGTTCAAGGCCGGGTCTCAGATCTTCAGCGAGGGAGGTCTGGACTACCTCGGAAACTCGAGCCTCATCCACGCCCAGAGCATTCTGGCCATCTGGGCCTGCCAGGTCGTGCTTATGGGAGCCATCGAGGGATACAGAGTGGCAGGAGGACCCCTGGGTGATGTGGTCGACCCCATCTACCCCGGAGGCTCTTTCGACCCCTTGAACTTGGCTGAGGACCCAGACACCTTCGCTGAATTGAAGGTGAAGGAGCTGAAGAACGGAAGGCTCGCCATGTTCTCGATGTTCGGATTCTTCGTCCAGGCGATCGTGACCGGAAAGGGCCCGATCGAGAACTTGTCGGACCACTTGGCCGATCCAACTGTGAACAACGCGTGGGCGTACGCCACCAACTTCACCCCCGGAAACTAGACGAGTTGAAGAGGCATCGAGTCTTCCGAAAGAAGACTCACGTCGTTTGTACCATAGAATGATTCAGTGACTTTGAGGCTCAGCCGGTTCCAGATGTATGCTAAGCTTTGTCAAGGAGATGCGAGGTAGTGGTATGTACAGATTTGGTGAACCGGTTTTCGATTCTGTGAGATGGTTCAATGTGCAATGCGAACTCAAAATTCGCAACATTAAAGCCATGTCACAGGTTGTAGTAGTAGTATTATGGTGAGGGCCTAGTTGTGTCAGACTGCGACAGTCATCGCATGAGAAGGTTGTCTCTGTACCATAGCCAGCGCTCAGTCGAGAATGCTCGAACTCAAAATTCGACTCGATTGTGGCTTTCTACATCTGAATTTCAACTGTAATCATATTATTCCATTCAATGTTTAATTCAGGTATAATGCTAAAGTTTCACCGATGAAGAGAGACCGACGTTGTGCCATATATAATGAATGATTTCGCCTCGATGATTTCTAAAATTGGCAATCTCAAGAAGAACCGTCTGCGAGCAGAAAAAAATTCAAACTTGGAAGACCATCATCGTTTTCTGAAAAAAATTTTGTAAAAATCCAAACTTGTTGACAACAAAATGTATATCAGCAAGAAGAAAGATCTATACCTTCTATTACCTCAGAAACAATCAAACGAGAGAAACAAAATATTTTTACTTATTATCTTCTATTAAAGCCTTTACAGAGGGAAAAAAAACCTGACACAATACAACACCGAAGTAAAACAGTCCAAAAGGAAAACAAAAACTACATCTGCTAAACAATCCTCAATACTATGTTTGGTCAAAATACTTAAATCGGAGATCCATATTTTGAAGATAGAAGACCATAATCGCAGAACCCTGTAATGGAATAGTGTAGATAGAGCGGACAGACTACCTTTTAGAACAATCTGGCAAATCCTTGAAGTCATTCATGGGATTTGAAGCAATTTCTTCTCGGATTCAAGGGCTCCTTGAATTATAGCATTATAACGAAAAAAAATGAAAAGATTGATTGTGATAACAAACATATCACCTGCCTAAATTTTAGTAGTTACCATGACAATCTTGAACGAGCGATTTGCACGAATACAATCACCAATATCAATCGTCAACACAGCAATTATCAACAGGCCCCGGGGGCTTTGCTTATTCCACGGATGTTGAAGGACAGTTCCTCGGAAGTGCGAGCGAAGCGATCCTGGCTGCAAGCCTGGCCGGCAAGGATCAGACGCCCTGTTCTAGCTTTTTGCCTCGACCACAGGACAACGCAGTGGGATGAGTGCCGGTAAGAGCAATTGGCTCCAGTGGAGCCAATTGCTCTTACCGCTCCAGGCAGAAAATATGACTCTCGATAGAAAAGGAATAATTGTGGGAATTATCCTCAGTCTACATGTCAGAGAAGATTCGAGATCAGGTAACGAAAGTGTGGGGCCGGCTTGGCCAGCACAAGTTTGTTCACATGTCAACAGCCCTGAGCGAACATTGGCTCGAAGTCAGGCCTGACTGCCACTTTAGATAGAGTCCACAAAGCGAGCAATGATAATCCATTGCTTCCATTCTACTGGCTCACCCGATTTCTCGTGTTACATGCCCCTCATCCACATTCGGCCAAGTAGGCCGCTTGCGCCGGCCCACAAGCGACACCAGCATTCTTGTGCCGAGTCCACCTCAGCTTCCCCTTCGCACATATATATACTCCTTCAGAAGAGTGCAGAAACCACAAAATAGCTCACAGATCCTCCTTGCATCTTCCTTGCATCCTCCCTCAGAGATCACAATGGCCGCCGTCACCGCATGCGCTTCGACGACCCTGGCTGGACAGGCTTTGGGATCCAGCAGCAATGAGCTCGCCCGGAAGGTGAACGTCGGCGAAGCCCGCATTGTTATGCGCAAGACCAGCTCCAAGAGCTCCTCCAGCATCTGGTGAGCTCTACGTTTCTGTGCATCGCCTCGCTTGCAAAGCCCTTGCGTCAGCCGTCAGGAATTGAGTCTGATTTCGAATCTTTTGATGATGTGATCGTGTTTGGAGATCGTTCTCAGATGTCCTTCGTGTCTGTGCTTCGCAGGTATGGTGAGGACCGACCCAAGTACTTGGGCCCATTCTCTGGTGCCACTCCCTCGTACCTGACCGGAGAGTTCCCTGGTGATTACGGGTGGGACACTGCTGGACTTTCAGCTGATCCCGAGACCTTCGCCAAGAACAGAGAGTTGGAGGTGATCCACGCTCGATGGGCCATGTTGGGAGCTCTGGGATGCGTCACCCCCGAGCTGCTGGCCAAGAACGGCACCAAGTTCGGAGAAGCAGTGTGGTTCAAGGCCGGGTCTCAGATCTTCAGCGAGGGAGGTCTGGACTACCTCGGCAACTCGAGCCTCATCCACGCCCAGAGCATTCTGGCCATCTGGGCCTGCCAGGTCGTGCTCATGGGAGCCATCGAGGGATACAGAGTGGCAGGAGGACCCTTGGGTGATGTCGTTGACCCCATCTACCCCGGAGGCTCATTCGACCCCTTGAACTTGGCTGAGGACCCAGACACCTTTGCTGAATTGAAGGTGAAGGAGCTGAAGAACGGAAGGCTCGCCATGTTCTCGATGTTCGGATTCTTCGTCCAGGCTATTGTGACCGGAAAGGGCCCGATCGAGAACTTGTCGGACCACTTGGCCGATCCAACTGTGAACAACGCGTGGGCGTACGCCACCAACTTCACCCCCGGAAACTAGGCGAATTCCGCTGTACATAGAACTATTCGCCGCCAACTCCTCCGTTTGTACCATAAATTTATCGTATTGGCTCTCGCCGGTTGCCAATGATTTTTACATTATGACAGAAGGATTCTAGATTGTCTGGTTCAGGTTTCTCTTTGGGTATGGTTCTAAGAATTGTCGGATTTATGGTGCTATCTCGAACTCAAAATTTGAGATCAGTCACTTATTTCGAGACAAGGTAGCTCAGACTAGACAAGTCGAACTCAAAATTCGAGTTGCTTAGGGAAATGAGTCACTCAGTTGATGTAAACATTCCCGGTAAAAGATTGAATTTTCATCAACGTGTGAGTACTTGCAGTTGCTGCTCATTTGCGATTTGCTCATTTGCAAAATGATCATCGTGTATCACCTGACTGATTCATGAATAGTTATAATCTCATACAAGAAAAATAGTTCTGTATACTCTGTGAACGCATTAATGACCAGGTAAATTATTATTGATGATACTGAATTTTAAGCAATAGGAATTTTAAGTAAGCCGAAACAAATTTATGTCCACCTTTCCGAACAACACATGATCATAAAAAAACACTTTACCATTAACTATTCTACCACTATAACTTCCATTTACATACATATCGAAAAAAAAAAAGATCAACACTGTACTCACTTGCAACTCACATCGTACTATAATACGAAGAAAGATGAATGTGAAAATAGGCCGTCAATCGGACAGTCTCTTGATCCATTGACCTCTCAAGATTGCTGGATAGCTTTCCTGGTGTATGAAAAGTAAACAGGAAAATGAATCTACAGGCTTAATGACCATTCCAGGGACTTGACAACTTTTAAAGTTTTCCGATCCATGGTTTTCGAGTACGCTGTTAACATCGACCCAGACTGGATAGAGCCTGGAAGACGGCAAAAGTTAACAGGAAAGAACTTATAGTAGATGATCGTCGTGTGAGAGCCCACTCTCGAGCAACGAAGACGTGAACCCTGTTCAGATTACCAACTCTTAAAGCACCAACAGTAACAAAAACGCTAAGTCAAACGATATTTTCTCTTCGCTCCAGTCCACACATTGAGCTCACATTACCTACTGCTTCTATCTTACTGGTGCCCCGAATCGCTGAGGCTTCTGGCCACTCATCGTCAAACTGCCATGTAGCACTAGCACATGTGCCGAGTTCCCGTCCTCGTCACTTCTGCATCCATCCTTCTTGTCCCCACAAGATCTCCATCAAGCCTGCCAACAAGCCCATCTTGACTCCAGACCGGAATCTCAGCCTCGTAGCACACCATGGATGCTGTCAAATCCTGTGCTTCTACTTACTTGCTCTGGTCACGCATTGGGAGCAGCAGCAAGGAGCTCGCTGAGAGAGTGCATGGCGGCCTTTCGCATTGGCATGCGCAAGAGTAGCTCCAGGAGTTCCTCCTCCTCTAGCGTGTGGTTTGTTCCAGCACCGTCCTTCTGTTGAGGTGTCTAGTGCAATCATGTTAACCTGTGAATCAGTAAGTCTTCCAAATAAATATGTCTATGTCCGTCAGCGTCTGTCGGCTCTCATCATCTATTCCTCGGGTATGGTATGCAATAAAACCTTCATGCACCGTAGTAACTTACCGATCGTCCATAGCATGCTGGAGCACTCACCCAACTTACGTCCTGATTAACCTCCACGTACGATGAGGACCGATCCAAGCACTTGGGCCCATTGTGCGGTGTAATGAAATCCTGCGTGACTGGTAGTTTCCCTGGTGATGAAACACCGCTAGACTCTCAGCGGAACCCGAGACCCTCACCAACTGCAGAAAAGTTGAGGTGATTCACACTTAAATTGTGAGTTCCCCGAGCTGGTGGCCGAGCACGGAGTCAAGCTCGGAGAGGCCGTGTGGTTCGTGGCCAAATCTCAGATCTTTAGCAAGGAAGGCAACACACGGAGCATTTGTTCCATCCGGGTCTCCCGAGAGGAGCTTATCGGTGCAATCAAAGGTTACAGAACGGCCTGAAGACCATTGGGTGAGATCACAGACTCCACCTTGCTTTGAAGTCAATCTATTCATCCGTCTAGAGAATAGTTTCTCTTCCTTTCGATTCGATGAACTCGATGACAAGATTCGATGAACTTAACTTCTATTGTTATGAACTATTTCTTCTCCTGATCTAATGGGTGCCATACGCCAACGAGTTATTTTTTTGGATTTGTTTATGTTGTACCATCGAAATTTTATCTAAATTTAAAATAATCTCACCGGCTGAACTTGGCTGAGGACATACACACCATCGCTGAGCTGAAAGGTGAAGGAGTTGATGAATGGAAGGCTCGCATAATCTCGATGTTGGGATTCTTTGTCCAGGCAATTGTTACTTTCAAGTGATCTATCGAGAGCTTGTCCGATCACTTGGCAGACCCAGCAGTGAACAATATGTGCTCTTACGCCGCCAACGGTAATTGAATAAAACCCACCCTCCCTGAGAACTTGGTGGATCGAACCGTATGTGCTGAATTGTAGTTCAAGATGCTCCAAGACACAGCAGATGTCGAATCCATCAACACGAACTTAGACTTAGATTCGATCATTCTAGTCTCTCTACAATAAATTATAGGAAAAACAACATCAATTCTGCGTGATTGCACCTTTGCACCACGATCGGTAGCTCTAACAGGCTCAGCGTGATAGCTAACTAGTTTACAAATAAGGAGAATTCCACCATGTTCAGCCTGCTGATTGAAATATTCACCGCGGAAACTCAGTGAAATCTGCAGGCACAGGCGCTAGCAGCGGGATGATGGAGTAACGGTGAGAGCTACATTGTCTCAGGTTGGCAAATGCTCTGAAGCACGGAAAGTAATATCAAGAAGCGATTCCTGAACCTGAGGACTGAACAGATTTGGGGACTGATGCTGAGTCTTCAAGGGTTACGTGATGTCAAGTACGTATTTTGTAACTTCCTGTGGTCAGTTGGTCACAATCAATACAAAGTTGAGGAAACTGCAAAACTTGGAGGCAATGACGGCTGCATTTATGAGAGAGCATCGTTTCACGACTATACTTGAACAGGATCTGTTCTATAGTACGTACATCTTGATCTGTGATCTCTATCATAGACAAGTCCCTTAACCCGGACGATGAGCAGTGGCTTGAATGCCAGTGCGCGAATACTGCTGGCCGTGCCGGGCGAGAGCCTGCGCTCGGTGAGCTTGATGAACGTCCTGCCGCGCTCATTCCGCCGGCGGTGAAGGCATTCAAGCGTTCTGACGGGTATACTCCTTTTATTTTCTTCGGGAAACAAGATGATGAGGCTGATGTGTAGCAAGTGCGCCCAATGGGAAATATACTGTAGACTGACAATGTTATCAGTTGGTGCTAAATGTTCCGCGAACAGAAGTTATTTTCGTAACAATACAATATCTAAGACAAGTTTGAGAGAATCAAAGAGTTTAGAAAGATTACATTTAGTCGTTTGAGACAAAAAATTCCTTATGAAAAAAATTGTGAATTTCAATTGATTTCAAAAATACATAAACCCTGCAAAACACAAAACATTTGCTGGCACTCATCATAATTCATTATCTTGGGTGTTGTATCACCCATGTGGGGACAAGATCCCAATGGAAAGCTTGTATCTAATAGGCGAACAGAACCATTCATTGAAGCGTCCACAAACCCTCATGAGTGAAAGTTCGAAATGCACCAAGGAGACACCCACAAAGGTAATCGCATAGCTACCAAAACAAAATTTGCAGATGAAGAGAGAAGCTCACAATTTTAATAGCTGCAAGGAACTCCTTTGACGATTAGAACGACCATAAAAAAACAAGGGGACACAAAAAACGCGACCTGAACTTGAGTTTATCAAAGTCAAGGTATGAGTGACAATTTTTGTTTATCCGGTTGGCTATCTTGAATTGCAGTTGTCAAGGACTTGAAATTGACTGCGGGAATGTGGTGGACAAGACGCATTGTATAAGTACTTGTTTGATGGTTTTGATCTAAATCTATTGCTGATCTAATGCATTTCTAATATCTTTATTTACAATCACACAAGCAATTGCACTTCTTTGGAATTTGACTCAACTCTCTTATTTATCAAAAATGAATCAATTTTCTCACAATGCAAACTCTTATTTACCTAGTCTCTTCATAGACGGGTTCTTTGTTCTGCTTCGTGTGTGTTATCTCAACTTGGGCAAAAAGTGTTTTCATGGGATCAATTCAACTTTATGGCCAAAGTACTCAATTGTGTGTATTTTAGCCCGATAGAGACAATCCATCCCCAAGCTATAGACATCAACTATTGGGTTGCAAAAAATCGTATTTAAACATGGATAAACTTGGATTTCATGATTGTAGGGAGTACCATCCAGTAAAATGTATTGTTTTTTGAGATCCACAGTTTTCCCATCGGATAATTTTCTCAAAACTATAAGATGTCTGGCTGAATTTCCTTTGAGATTGAGTAGGGAACTTGATTTAGAATTTAGAGTCTTAAATTTTATGTACAAGCAATACTTGTAACTTTATAAATATTTTCCTACATTTTTTGATCCCAAAAAATTTTATTTAGACCAAAAAGTCCATTTTCTGAATAATTAGCTGCATCTGAAAAATTTGAAGATCTTTCCATTATATTTGCAACAAAATATATTTTATTGTTTATGTCCGAATCATGCTGATGTATAAAAATTTGGAAGACTTTAACACATATCATGTGTTTATTTGATCGCAATAAGATCATGCCATACAAAAATATATGTACTACTTTTTTACTAATTTTATCGAGATTAAAAAAACAAGTTATTTGATTGATTATGCTTTCATGATTAAACAACTATTATAATTGGAGTGATAACAATATATCTATATTAGTGAGTGATCTAATAACAGAAATGAACAACTGATTATTATAATATTCTAGTTTTTTTTTTCAAATTAATTTTTGATTATATTTTATCAGTAGAAGAAACAATGGAGCTGAACCTATTTTGCTTTCATACTGGGCTTTTATGTGGTTCGCTCTGGGGTTTTTGGCACTTTTCCCTACAATAAACGGCCGGGGGTTGTGGAAACGGATGTCGCGCCTGATCCACAGGTCGCTCCGGCGTCGATAGCCGTGTCCCCTGGATCCAGAAAGTGTCCCGCGTCTCTTGGGCTGTTGGTGACATGTGCTCTCAGTTTTTAGTGTTGTGTTAATGTTGATAAGTTCATTACGGGCATGTACACACTCATGATACTTATTTAGAATCCAATATTCCAGGGATGAGTTGAAAATACTACGAGAACAAATAAAAGCAGAATCAAAGTCTTGCCTACATTATTCCGATGGCGACCCTTGGTGATGAGAAATCCACAAGAGAATATATTTTTGGCTTCATTTGAGTGTTGGACAAGGATCTTGAAGTCAGCATATTTTTGAAATTTACGATTGAAATTAGAATATGATCATCTAGCAAAAGAAAAAATTCTGGTTATAAAATATTGATTTACATCATATCTTTGATAAAACAG